CAATCGGCCGTCTCATCGCAAGCTTCGGTGTCAAGCACCACTCATATGCGGACGACACTATTCTGTTCACCGCCATCAATTCTACCAATGCGTCTGGTTTTGAGAGGCTGTCGGAATGCGCCACTGCCTTGCAACAGTGGTTCTCTTGCCCTTAATCCGTCAAAGTCAGTGGCCATCATGTTAGGTACCAGGCAAAGTCTCAACTCATCAGCGCCCCCCAACACACATACACATCTTTGGTCACAGCATCAAGTTCACCGATCACTTCAGCTACCTCGGTGTCATCCTACATTCAACTCTAGTCCGGTCCTCCTCTGGCAACCTAAAAAAAACTTCAAAGACTACAAAACAACCTGGCACGCATCGTCATTGGCCGCACTCATCCCCGTCTCGAATCACTTGCCTGTCTCCGTGCCCTCCACTGGCTACCCATTGCCAGCAGGGTCGCATACAAGATCGCCTGCCTCTGCCACAACGCCTTCACATCTGCCTGCCCGCCGTACCTCTCTTCATTATTGACGACTTGCAGCACAGCACACGGCAGATGCCTTCGCAGTGCGACTCGCGACCTCCTCTTGATACCAAGATCCAGGATGGTCATGTCTATGCGCCGCTTCTCGGTGGCAGTCTGGAACGCCGTCATCCCTCTGCATATTCGCAGCATCACCTCAATCGCCTCCTTCAAGAGACACTTAAAAACTCACCTCTATAACCACGCTTTCGAGTGACTCTGAGCTTGGCTCCGCGTCTCCGAGTTACGGCCGTTACGTCCGCAAATTTGTGCACGTTATAAATTGCATTGTTATTTCGCTTTAAAGCTTTCGTGACTGCAGGGATTCATCTTCTTGGTTCTTTCGGTAAAAGAACCAAGAAGATGCATTCTTATTATTAAGATCGTGACCACGACAAGTGGTGTGGACATTCACTCCAGGATTAGTCCTGGGCTGCTCTAAAACTTACAACCAGAAACAGCGGTCACGTCGCACGTCCCTCCCGACTGACTGCCACTCTAACTCCCTCGAGCACTTATGACTGAACCATCAGGCGTGCCCCATTCCCGCCCCGGGCATAAACCCAGGCAATCGATTGAGGGGGGGGGTTTAAAAAAGTCCCATTTCCACCCGGGTTACAGTTTCTCACGTTCGTCGTGAACCCAAGGCTGCGGGAAATAACCGAGTGACATAATCCAGACCGCTCACTCCACGCCCGCACTCTTTTCCAAAATTACGATCAACGCAAAAAAAGTCAAAGAATGTGTTTTTTTACATCGTTCCAGGCTCAGCTTAAATACACGAGCGCCAGTGAACACGGAGGAATAGAAACAGCGATGCTACCACCGCTGCATCGTCATGTGGCTCACAGCAATAGGCAATGCGGAGTCTCGCGGTGGCAAGAGATGAACACTTAGCAGATGCCCGACAACTCTTACACATGGGGTGGCACTGCATTTTTATCCTCACGCAGTTTCTGAGCACAGGACCAAAGGTCTAATACAGCCAGCACACAACTCTCAAAATTGCTATAAGAGATAACACGTTTATGTGATTGAACGCGGTTTTACGAGCTAGGGAAAAATAGATGACGGGAGGGAATTCCAAAGTGGAGCAGTACGAGCGAAGAAGAAAAAAGGATACATATTTTGACCTGCAGTGTGGCGAGCGAATGAGTGAGTGAACCTGTGTTGTTGTTGTTGTTGTGATCTACAGTGTGGTAGCTGAACACACAGTGCAGACAGCAAGAAACAATTTCTGGCAGATAGAGTCCTCAACATGGGTCGAGGAACCATCGAGCGAAGTCCACAGGAACGGTAACCATGGCAGTAGCCACAGAAGAGTTCTAAGGAGGCGAGACTGCCCGCCTAACCCTTGCACATTAACAAGACTCTTGCGAATGTGCCTTTGCACCCCAAGGTGGTTGTCCAATTAAAGCGAGTACAGCTCTTGGTCAATCCACTCCTGCCGTACGAGGGCCTCCCCCACACGCCGTGTCTGTCATGGGGATCGTGTGATCATACTTCACCCACGCTGATCAGTGGCGGTTGGCGAATGGTTGTGGGGGGGCGGGCAGGGAAGCAAGAGCGGTCAAGATAACACTTGCCACTGGTGTCAGCCATGGCCCGGAAAAATCGCAACACGCGTAGCCGGGGTCATCGTGCAGTGGCGTTAACCGCTGTGCCACCGTTACGGCCTGAATGTGGCATGCCGAGATACGACGTTAATCAGGTCGCACGTCTTATCAAGGCTGTCACCGCACAAACGTGTGGTGCAGGAAGCTCCGCTTCTCAACCCCGAAGCTCATTTGGAGATTTTTCAACAACCAGATCCCATGTGCCAAATGACACTCATCCTGGTCTCTTGAGTTCTTAACTGGTTAAACAAAATAGACTTAACAACTGACATCCCCGGGGCTGGAGTTGTACCATCAGATGTTCATTGCATAAGCCACCACCTTCAATATTGGAGCATGTTCAGAAGCAGAATATGTATTTATACTGGAGGAATCTGATGTGCTATAAAGCTCTTTTTCACAGATGTGCGGTATAAGGGCGGGTAAGAACATTACAACAAACTAAACCATTCCCATCCTACCAGTCAAAGCCCACTGAGGTATTAACTTATTTTTCAGAAGCGACCTGGCCACAAATGATAGCTCAACAAGGTGACTTATCATTTGGACATTTATAGCAGCAAAATAGTCTAAATAGTCTCAATGCATGTTTCTAAATGTGGAGTGAAAAACTGGAGGACCCAAGAAAAAAATCCACACTACCATGGGGAGAACATGCAAACTCCAAATATACAGGCATCAGGGCCGGGACCTAAGCCCCGACCTCCTGTATACCAGGTGAGGTAGTTAAGCTGGCGAGATGGGCTTCTCTGTACGTCTAAAGCCCTGTTTGTCAATCTACCGCTGAACGGACTTAACCGTTTACATGTTATTCAAGTAGTCACCATATATTTGTTCAATGTTTCCGTGGCTCACATTTGTATAATTGGACTCGATGATCGGTATGCAGAGCCATGCTAACTTGCAAGGGAATTTAGACGTTTTATTGCCAACGTCAACCACCTACCCCAGCAAGCAAGACTTCGAGAAATCTACCTTGTCACCTACTAGAGTCGTGATCTCCCTCCCGGGATCACGCTGCTGTTGTCATCACCACCTTCATCATCATAGAATCTCTCACCCTGATCCAGAACAACGCTTGCCAACAAAGTGGAACAACGCGGACGTCCAGAACAAACACCTCAATCGAGGTTTTGGGTAAGTTCGCGTGAATATAAATGTGTTGCTAAACCCCCCCACTACACGACATAGCTAATAGTAAGGTTTAATAAGGGTTGTATAACCCACAAAAGCCTCTGTTATGGATATTGGTCGCAAAAGCCCACGTGTTAAACAAACAACCTCATTTGAAACCCCAAACATCGTCACATCTCCTGGCTTTCACATTTCTCCTCCTCGTCCCGGTGTGACCGCCGACAGCATCAGAACATCAACGGCAGCCGGCCGATGCGCCAGCGGACCTCAGCATTGCACATTTCGCTCACGAACGCATTGCAAAAAATCTACAATGAGCCCGGAAGCAAACTGCCAGAGCCCATAACACAGGTTTTTGGGTTAGATCGCGTAAATATAAATGTGTCGTTAAACCCGCCACCACCCGACACAACCAATTAGTAAGGTTTGTCACGTAAACAGAACATGGCAATTCGTTAATTGTACAGCACACCGGTGCGTTGGAGAGTAAATCCACAACATTTACAATCCGAGTATGACGTTTCGCGAGTAATTACAACCAGCATCATCAGGCGACAGCCAGATTTCTGCCGGAGCCCGCTTGCGTTCCAGAGCTTTAAATGAGTTAACGCCAATTAATGTTCGTGCGAAACGTTCAATGTTGTCATGCGACGCGGTCGGGTTTTCTCTCTCTCTTTCAGATATCTCTTCGCTTCATTGCTGCACTCTTTCTTTTTTATGTCGTCTGGCAAAGCAAAAAAAAGACAGATCGCCGTTGCCAACAAGAGACTTTATCGTGGTCTCTGTTGAGGTCTCTCAGCTGGTTAAACAAAATTAACTGGACACTTGAACCCGAGGGAGCCCTTCCCCGTGGCGTTGTAGGTCACGGGAGAGGTGATGACCGCGCGTAGTCAGCGAGCAAGGCCGTGGCAGCCAGGCAGGGGGCTTGAGTCAAACTTCTCGCTGCTGCCGAACCCGAGTTCGACTCTGAACCCCGGCTTAACATCAACGGCGAGTGGCGTCTGAACCGGTCCTGCGGGGCCCACCGTCACCAACTTAACATGCATCAACAACAACAACCAATCACCAAAACAAACCACGACATCCACCTCCAACCACCACTGCCAAACCACAGCCACCACTAACAACCACCAAAACACCACCATGTCAAGCTCCACCACCACCACCACCACGGTAAACGCCTCGACTGCCTCCCATGGCAGGGACGAGAGGCAGCCACAGCACGCGAGCCGTGGTCCCAAAGCTCCGTCTCCCCTGGGCCCCCCTCTCACCGGTCCCCCCTCTCTCTGACCCCCCTCTCTCCCTCTGGGCCCCCTCTCTCACCAGTCCCCTCTCTCTGACCCCCCTCTCTCACCGGCCCCCCCCTCTCTAACCCCCACCCCTCTCTGACCCCCCGCCCTCTCTGACCCCCCCCCCTCTCTCTGACCCCCCTCTCTCTCTGCCCCCCTCTCTCTGACGCCCCCCCCCCCCCTCTGACGCCCCCCCCCCTCTCTCTGACGCCCCCCTTCTCTCTGGCCCCCCCTCTCTCTAACCCCCCCTCTCTCTGACCCCCCCCCCCTCTCTCTGACCCCCCCTCTCTCTGCCCCCCCCTCTCTCTGACCCCCCCTCTGTCTGACCCCCTCTCTCTGACCCCCCTCTCTCTGACCCCCTCTCTCTGACCCCCTCTCTCTGCCCCCCCCCCCCCTTCTCTCTGGGCCCCCCTCTCTCTGGGCCCCCCTCTCTCTGCCCCCCTCTCTCACCGGTGCGCAGCTGCAGCTCCACAGTGACCGAGTCTCCATCGGACGAGGAGCTCTCCCCCATGACCGCGTCTCCTCCTCCTCCTGCTGCTGCTCCAGATCCTCCTCCTCCTCGTCTACCTCGTCAGGGCCATCGCGGCGGCGGCAGGGACTCCCCTCAATGCCGATGTTGTCGTTGATGTTGTTGTTGATGATGTTGTTGTTGATGATGTTGATGTTGTTGATGTTGTTGATGATGTTGTTGTTGATGTTGTCGCGTGTGAATTACGCCGCCTGTGACTCACGTGTACGGCCTCACCCTGACACTCTCCCCTGCCTCTCCTTTTACTCTCCTGGCGCTCTCGCTTTACTCTCCCTTCACTTTGCGCGCTCTCCCCACGCTCCTTCCGCTCTCCCCGCTTTCTTTTTACTTCTCCCCCTCTCTCTTTCCTCTCCCTTACCTCTCCCCTCGCTCTCCCTTCCCTCTCCCCTCGCTCTCCCTTCCCTCTCCCCCTCGCTCTCTCTTCCCTCTCCCCCTCGCTCTCTCTTCCCTCTCCCCTCGCTCTCTCTTCCCTCTCCCCCTCGCTCTCTCTTCCCTCTCCCCTCGCTCTCCCTTCCCTCTCCCCTCGCTCTCCCTTCCCTCTCCCCTCGCTCTCCCTTACCTCTCCCCTCGCTCTCCTCTTCCCTCTCCCCTCGCTCTCTCTTCCCTCTCCCCCCTCGCTCCCTCTTCCCTCTCCCCTCGCTCTCTCTTCCCTCTCCCCTCGCTCTCTCTTCCCTCTCCCCTCGCTCTCTCTTCCCTCTCCCCTCGCTCTCTCTTCCCTCTCCCCCTCGCTCTCCCTTCCCTCTCCCCCTCGCTCTCCCTTCCCTCTCCCCTCGCTCCCTCTTCCCTCTCCCCTCGCTCTCCCTTCCCTCTCCCCTCGCTCTCCCTTCCCTCTCCCCCTCGCTCTCCCTTCCCTCTCCCCCCTCTCCGCTGTGAGCCCGCGCACGCGCTCGACCAATCGCAGCGCGCGGCGCCGGTCACGTGACGCCGCGTCCCAAAATTCTCACCCGGGCTCGGCTGCTTCCTGGGCACCCCCCCCCCCGCTGCCGCCAATGGGAGCGCGCCGCGCGGGTCACGTGGGCCGGGCACTGCCCTCACGTGGGCGTGGCAGCTCCAGCTCGGCACCACGTGGGCCCTCGCCGGCTCTATCCACTGCTGGCTGCGTTGGAGCGTTGAGATTTTAAACTTCGCTTGTTTTGGCCAAGGGAAAAGATTCACCGAGTCTCGCGACAATTATTGCGAGGGAGGTTCTTGCCAAGTGTTTTGAGCAGTTTTGGGGCAATTTAATTAATTTGCAGGTACCGTTTGGCCAATTTCAGTCATACATTGTTACGTTTCATTCACTTATTTTAATACGCTGGTCAGCGCGCGTTGTTGAAGGCGGGGAGCATATAAAGTGCAGTACAACGATGTATGTTGATGCACTGCCCTCTGCTGCACACTGCATGGCACGTTCATTGCACGGTAATGCCCCTCACCCAGCAGAGCACAGAATCTCGAGACGCGTCTTCGGGAGCGTGCTACGACTACAATCCATTCACGTACGAACATTAATTTTGAACGATTTCTGACCCCCCCCCTCTCCCCATCGTCACACGGCGTCACAAAAAGCCAGACCACCCCTCAAATATGACGTCACAAAACTCTGCCCCCCCCCCCCAAAAAAATATATAAAAATGCTTCAAATCGCTTTAAACTATTGTCATGTTTAGGAGAAAACATTTATTAAAACTTCTATAATTAAGTAGAACGTGTTGTCTATATTTATTTAAAGTTGCGCATTTTGATGTGACGTCACATTTCTCAACCCCCCCCCCCCCTCGTCACACATCGTCACAAATGTCTGACCCTATAGGTGCGTTACGTCATTCCTGGACGGCGATTGTGAACGATGCAATTTGCAAGCACGACGTTAGGATGAAACGAAACAATTCCAGTTTGGCTTCGTGTGCGAGGAAATGGGAGAAGCCGGAGTAATCCCATGTGCGAGCCACCGCACAACATCTGGAGTTCATAGCGAGTCACCCGTACACCACACTCAGCAGGCTGAAAGCTGCTTATCTTGCGAGGTCGGACGCAGTACCCAGGGTGACAATGGTCAGAAACAAACGTGGGCTTGCGAGGCAAGTTCAAGTTTCAAGTTTCATTTATTTGGTTTTGCCCTGTGAGCCATGCAGCTCTTAAGTCGGGTGCAATCGCATCAAACAAAATATGAACGGAGAACATCTTAAAGCGACGACGCGCAACAGAAACATCCTGGATAAACCAGCAAATCTTAAAAAAAAGCGCTGTGTGCAAAAAATCCCAGTGTGATGCAAATAAAACAATAACAACCATAATACATTTCGATTTAAAGCTTTCGTGACTGCAGGGATTAATATTCTTGTTTTTTTCGGTAAAGTCACGCAGAAGGGAAACAACAAAACAATAAAAACAAAACAATAAAACCCCCACGACGTCTAGATTGCAACACAAGCAACCATCATCAGGTGTACGCTTCAGGGTGCATTTGCCACTAGGGAAAGATTTTGGAAAACGTAAAAAACAAAAATCCACGTTGCAATGTGTTCAAGAGGAAAGTTTCATCGGTGCGTACAAGTCGCTCTCACGTGGAACAGAAGAATGGAGGGCAGTGGCAGAGACAAGGGAACGAACGCTGAAAAGTGCGTGCCGGGAACTACACAGAAAGAGGAACGCGTGGTTAGTAGTGTGCGCTTACTAAGGCGCCTTTCACAATGTCTCGAGGCGCACAAGGAGAGAGACAATGCAGAAAGATCCGGGTTGACGACCTAAGAACCCAGAAAGGAACAAAGCGAATTACAACAGAGATTTTTTGTTTAAAGATGGGTTTTTTTTTTTAAGTCGGGTTCTTGAAGATATCAGCACTGTCCAAGAGACGGGGGAGCCAATACAACGATGCCGATAACAGGAAGAGAGAAGATGTTCTCGCAATGGGGTGGGAGTTCATAGCTGTCAACCCATATGGTTTACCCCGTATTCTTGTACAGGGAAATTGAGTTTTCAGGTCCCTACGGCGTACAGCCGTTTCAATACGGGCAAACAAAAATTACGCGTCTTTTTGTTTGTGTTTCTCCCTTGTGATGGGACTTTGTAGGATGAACGTTGAGATTTATAAGGGACACGGGGTGACAAAAGGTCTGAATTCGTCTGTAATATCGGTGCAGTGACATCGCGGGATATCACTGTGCAGTGCCGGCCCTAGAGAGGCACGGTGTGCGATGTAGCGACATCGCAGGACACCGCAGTGATGTAGCTGTAGTACCGGCCCTATAGGGGTTCGGTGAGCGCTGGTTGATAGCGCTAGGTGGCACCACGCTTGGCGTGCAGTGCCAGCCCTACAGGATTGGGTGTGGGAGTGCCGGTCCGTAGGAATGAGGTTACTAAAGGCCATGGCACTCTGGTTGACCTGAGAGGACACGTGACCAGTTAAGTCTACAAAGGGGCCCCAAGTGGGGGCTAGGGGTGGTCACATGGTCCGGGTCCAGATCCTTCCCGAGGATTCTGGAAGGTGGTCGTGGCCAAGGGCGGAGCCAGCCACGCTGCAGAGGATATAAGCCAGGGTCCCCCAGAGGGACCGGGGCTGTTGTTGTTCATCCTGGAAGAAACCTTCGTCTACGTTCTACATTCCTACCGAGTCTCCAACACGTGGACCTGGACCCGAGCTGTGGTCCTGGTCCGTAAAAGCGAGTTACGTTGTAACTAGTGTAGGTAGCCTGGTGGTGACCATCATAGGCAGTTACCCCGTGTGTTGGTGTTAAATAAATGTGTTGCCTCCGAGAGTACGTCTGCGACTAACTTGAACTCAACTACATAGGCACTAAATTTTGATTTAAAGCTTTCATGGCTGCAGGGATTCACATTCTTGCAGTCGAAACGTCGTGAGAATTTTTATTGTTTTATATTTATTTTATTTTGTTATCTCCCTTCTACGTGACTTTACCGAAAGAACCAAGAATACATAGGCACTGATAAGGGGTTGACATGTATGCGAGTTAGCACCTTGGCTGCTACATTGGGCACAGTCTGCAACTGCCTCGGACCCATAATTTTTCGGCCTCAGGAATGTGTGTGTGCTCAAGTACTTGAATTAACAACGCCGAATTGTACTTGAATTGTAAATTTTGTCGTGGGTTTACTCTCCAACACAACTGGTTAGTGCTGTACTAGTAACTAATTGACCACTTTTTTGTTTACGTGACAAACCTCTTACTAATTGGCTGTGTCGGTGGGGGCGGGTTTAACGAAATATTTATATTCACGCTAACCAACCCAAAAAATACCTCGTAGATAATATTGCTGGCGAAAGCCTACATGTTAAATATATTTTTATTAAGTTGGTGATTGGGCCCAGGCAATCATTGCTGTGTGGATTGTGCGGTGACCTCACTACACAGTTCTACCCATAGTGCAGATTTGCCAGCACCTTTTAACGATTTTACTTTCAATATAAATTAGTTTATATTGAGATATTTTTTTGTATTGAAGAGTGTATTACACAACAGCCACTGTTGGGAAACTATCCACATGGTAATAAAACAACTGACATGAAGAAGGGCCATTGCCTGAAACGTCGCCTGTTAGATAATTCTCCTTTAAAGACAACAACAGCAACAGTGTTTTTGACAACAACAAAAAGTGTTCAGTGTTTACAACAAAATGAGCACGCTCCCTTGAATGGCGAATGAGGCGCGTTCGTATTGTTTGGTTCTTTGGGTAAAGTCACGTAGATAGAAAAATAATAAAGCAAATAAAGTTAATAAACCCACTGCGTTGTCGTCGCTTCCTTCGACATTAGCATTATTTGCCCCGCCAATGCTGCTGACACACTTGGGCTACGCCCATTTTAAACCTTTATAAACAGTTTGCCTTTAGAGGCTAACCCCCCTTTTCCTGATGACGACCGCTTGTGTTGCCATCGAAACGTCGTGGTTTATATTTTTATTTTATATAAAAAAAGTTTATTTTATTTTATTCAGGTTAAGAACCAGGCTACAGTCTATATTATAGACTGCCAGTACGCTCATTCAGTTGAATAACCATTGCTACAGTCTACATCATAGACTGCCAATATGCTCACCAGCTAAAAAAAACGGCTACAGTCTACATTATAGACTGCCAGTACATCCACCGAGGTTAAGAATCAGGCTACAGTCTACATTATAGACTGCCAGCACACTCACCAAACTTAATAACCAGGATACAGTCTACATTATAGGGGCCGTCCATAAATGACGTCACGCACCTGGGGGGGGTGGGGGTCAGACATTTGTGACGATTTGTGACGAGGGGGGGGGGGTTTAGAAATGTGACATCACATCAAAATGCGCAACTTTAAATAAATATAGACAACACGTTCTACTGAATTAAATATACTTTTCAATAAATGTTTTCTCCTACAACATCAGAGTGCAGCGCCGCATTAAATACGCACTACAATGACAATAGTTTAAAGCGATTCGAAGCATGTTTTATTTTCAAAATGGAAATATGGTTTTGGGAGGGGGGGGTGCAGAGCTTTGTGACGTCATATTTGAGGGGGGGGGGTCTGACTTTTTGTGACGCCATGTGACGGGGGGGGGGGGGTCAAAAATTGTCCAAAATCGCTTGACGTCATTTATGGACGGCTCCATAGACTACCAGTACACTTTAGAACCAGGCTACAGTCTACATTAGTGCATTTTTTAAAATTAACTTTATTTTTATTATAATTTTTCTATCTGCGTGCCTTTACCGAAAGGTACAAAAGAAGATTAATTCATGCAGTTACGAAGACTACCAGTACACTTTAGAACCAGGCTACAGTCCACATTAGTGCATTTTTTATTCACTTTATTTTTATCATAATTTTCTATCTGCGTGCCTTTACCGAAAGGTACAAAAGAAGATGAATTCATGCAGTTGCGAAAGTTTTCAGTCCAAATTGGAGTCGCGCTCCCTTGAATGACGAATGAGGGAGCTGGGAATCAGGTGACGGGTGCCGGGGGGGGGGGTAGGGGTGGGGGGCGGTGACATTGTACGCGCGAATCTCGTGGCGCGAATCGGGAGTTGGCGGCACGTGGACTTGGCGGCATCGCGTGGTGAAGGCCCGAGGAGAGGAACGCCATAGAGAGAGGCGCGGAGTGCAGTACAACTCTCCCGACTCGCTCCAACACTCTCCCCGTCTCTCTCAACCAGGCGGGTACAACTCTGCCCACTCGCCCCGTCTCCTCTCACCCAGGCCGGTACAACTCTCACTCTACAACTCTCACCCAGGCGGCTTGAAAACTTATTTCTTTAGAACTGTGTTTAGGTCGTTGTCCTCCCCACCGCACCTCCGATTAGCACGGTTGGCTACGTACGGTGCGAAGGAAGTTCTACATACTACACACGGACTCACGCAGAGACCTATGTACTCACGCAGAGACCCATGTACTCACGCAGAGACCCATGGACTCACGCAGAGACCCATAGACTCACGCAGAGACCCACGGACTTACGCAGAGACCCACAGACTTGCACAGAGAACCATGGACTCACCCGGAGACCCATGGACTCGCGCGGAGACCCCATAGACTCACGCAGAGACACATGGACTCACGCAGAGACACATGGATTCACGCCGAGACACATGGACTCACGCAGAGACCCATGGACTCACGCAGAGACCCATAGACTCACGCAGAGACACATGGACTCACACGTAGACCCATGGACTCGCGCAGAGACTCATGGACTCGCGCAGAGACTCATAGACTCACGCAGAGACTCATAGACTCACGCAGAGACACATGGACTCACGCAGAGACACATGGATTCACGCAGAGACACATGGACTCACGCAGAGACCCACGGACTCGCGCAGAGACCCATGTAGTCACGCAGAGACCCATGGACTCACGCAGAGACCCATAGACTCACGCAGAGACCCATGGACTCACGCAGAGACCCATAGACTCACGCAGAGACACATGGACTCACACGGAGACCCATGGACTCGCGCAGAGACTCATGGACTCGCGCAGAGGCCCATGTACTCACGCAGAGACCCATGGACTCACGCCAAGACCCATGTACTCACGCAGAGACCCATGGACTCACGCCGAGACCCATGGACTCGCGCAGAGACCCATGGACTCACGCAGAGACCCATGTACTCACGCAGAGACCCATGGACTCACGCCAAGACCCATGGACTCGCGCAGAGACCCATGGACTCGCGCAGAGACCCATGGACTCACGCAGAGACCCATGGACTCACGCCGAGACCCATGGACTCACGCAGAGACTCATGGACTCGCGCAGAGACCCATGGACTCACGCAGAGACCCATGTACTCACGCAGAGACCCATGGACTCGCACGGAGACCCATGGACTCACGCCGAGACCCATGGACTCACGCAGAGACCCATAGACTCACGCAGAGACACATGGACTCACACGGAGACCCATGGACTCACACGGAGACCCATGGACTCACACCGAGACCCATGGACTCACGCAGAGACACATGGACTCAAGCAGAGACCCATGGACTCACGCAGAGACCCATGTACTCACGCAGAGACCCATGTAGTCACGCAGAGACCCATGTAGTCACGCAGAGACCCATGGACTCACGCAGAGACCCATGTAGTCACGCGGAGAACCATGGACTCACGCAGAGACCCATGTAGTCACGCAGAGACCCATGTACTCACGCAGAGACACATGGACTCACGCCGAGACCCATGGACTCACGCAGAGACACATGGACTCAAGCAGAGACCCATGTAGTCACGCAGAGACCCATGTACTCACGCAGAGACACATGGACTCACGCAGAGACCCATGGACTCACGCAGAGACACATGGACTCAAGCAGAGACCCATGGACTCAAGCAGAGACCCATGTACTCACGCAGAGACCCATGTAGTCACGCAGAGACCCATGTACTCACGCAGAGACCCATGGACTCACGCAGAGACCCATGTAGTCACGCAGAAACCCATAGACTCACGCGGAGACCCATGGACTTACGCATCGACCCACAGACTTGCACAGAGACCCATGGACTCACGCGGAGACCCATGGACACACACAGAGGCCCATGGACTCGCGCAGAGACTCATAGACTGACACAGACACCCATAGTTTGTTGCCCTCCCCCCCCCCACCGATTAACACGGGGTTAGCTACGTACAGTGCAACAGAAGTACACACAAACTTGCATCTCTCATGAATGCACTTGATTATTCGCTATTCCGCAACGGGTAAAGGCGCCGCCCTGCTATTGCTCCACTCAAGGGGGCTCTAGTGGATATTTGGTCTACTCTTCCAGGCTGGCCAAGTAGTCTTAGAAGAGGTGGCAGTACCCACACTTTACCCCAGGCACACGTGACGTGCCGATCGACTGTGGTGTACCAATTTAACACGTAGTAGTAGGACTTAAGCGACCAATATCCATAATATAAGTTTTTTGTTTGGTTTAGATCGCGTAAATATAAATGCGTCGTTAAACCCGCCACCACCCGACACAGCCAATTAGTAAGGTTTGTCACGTAAACAAAACGTGGCAATTAGTTACTAGTAAAGCACTAACCGGTTGTTGTGTGTTGGAGAGTAAACCCAATATAACATTGACAATTCGAGTACCTTGAAGTTTTGCCTGGATGGGGCAGCGATGGGGACATTTCATAAAAATGTTCCCACTGTTTGAATTGTTGAGCCAGGGAGATGGAATCGAACCTGCATCCTCTTGGATTCCAAGTCCAGTGGGGCTGCTCACCATTACATTACCGGGACAGTCCCCTTCTAGAGGTTGTCATTCATGGGAGGCGAGAACAAGTAACCCCAGTAGACCCCTTGGCAGATTTCCGAAGAATGTGAATCGGCACCAGCGGTAGAGACATTGTGTTTTGATGGTGTGAGTGGCACGTGATCAACAGTGTCGAAAGCCTTGGACTGATCCGTAGCGATGGCGTCAGGAATCTTGGCCTTGGTCCATAGCTGTGTGGTCCATGTGTCGGCTGTAACTTACAACAGGATTCATACTCTTAGGTTTTTTCGGTAAAGTCACGTAGGTAAAAATAAATAAGAAAAATATTAAAAATAAGTAATAATTACTTCTATTACTATTTCTATCATTTAATAATTTTATTTATTTATTTTTACCTACGTGACTTTACCGAAAAAACCTAAGAGTATGAATCCTTGCAGTCACGAAAGCTTCAAATCTAGAATTACAACAGGGTGGTTATTGTTGAATGCTTTTCGTGAAACCCAGATTCAAAACCGGTTAATAAATTATCACCAAGCATCAAATGCCATTTAATTTATATCAACTGTATATATTATCCACAGCTCTCGTTCCATCATGAGTTTCGTCTCTGGTGGCACGGGGAACGCCACCGGCTTCTCCTTCGGTGCTCAGCCCGGCGGTGCCGGCGGTGGGTTTTCCTTCGGCGGCGCCGGTGCCCCAACTGCGGCGGCGCCGGGGGCGCAAATGCCGGCCGCCGGCTCGGCCTTCAGCTTTGCCCCGGCCACCGCGGCCGCCCCGGCGGCGTCGTCCGGGTTCTCGTTTGGCGGCGCCGGTGCCGGGACAGGTGCCAACACCGGATTCTCGTTCGGTCAGTCGGCCATGGGCGCCCCTACTACCGCAGCTGCCCCTTCAGTATCCGCCGTCCGCTGCCCCCGCCGCTGCCCCCGCCGCCGCCACGGGGTTCCAGCTTGGGGGAGCACCGGTGGGGATGGCGGCGCCAGGGGGGTTTGCGTTTGGGGCAAGCGGTGCGGCCACCCCGGCCAGCAGCGCCCCGACGGCGAGCTTCGGGTTCGGTGGCGGAGCGACGGGCGCCTTCTCATTCAGGTGCCGACGCGGCGAGTGTGTGTGAGAGAGTCTATGAGAGCAGTGTGTTTGTGTGTAGTACAAGTGTGCGTGGACCTGTGTGTCTGTGATGGGAGCGGTAAGTGCAGTGGTTCTCGCACCGCACTACAAACCCGGAAACATAGGTTCAGTTCCAGGCTACAGGCAACATCGGTGCCAAATATTCCACTCCGTCCATGGCTTCCCCTAGGTCGACTTGGCGTTATTGGAATACCTGGCGCAGTGTGTAGTAGACATCTTCACTGGGGAGCCAGGTGTGCTACTGGTCACACCATCCCCTCGTAGATGCGCCGTGTTAGCCTTAATAGGCGCTTGCTAACAGCAATTTCCGCAACAGTCTGTCTATGCCACACGGGCATATGTGTCTTTGTTTAAATAAAACTTAGTGTGGTGTGCGCAGTAGCAGGGTGTGTGTGGATGCGGTTTCTAAACAGTGTGGTAAGTACCTGTGAATGCGTCTTTGCCATGCCTAGTGTGTGTGTGTAGTGTGGTGTATGTCGTGCGTATGGGTAGCAGTGGTTAGTGCAGCGCACTACAAAACCAGTGACCCTCTCACGGTCAACATCGAATATCTTAACTGGTCCTGGGCTTCCCCTAGTTTGCCCCAGCCTTAAATGAGCACCTGGTGTCTAAACATGAGCACTGGTGGCCGGGCTTGGTATTGGCCACACACTATCTTGTGCCGTGCCGGCCTTAATAGGTGCTTGCTAACAGTACTTGCCCGCAACAGCCTGTTAAAGTTTAACACGTAGGCTTTCGCGACCAATATCCATAATATAGGTTTTTTTGGGTTAGACTGCGTAAACATAAATGTGTCGTTAAACCCGCCACCACCCGACACGACCAATTAGTAAGGTTTGTCACGTAAACAGAACATGCCAATTCGTTACTAGTACAGCACACCGGTGTGTGGGAGGGACAATCCACAACATTTACAATCTGGCTTATCCGCCTGATGATGCTAGTTGTAATTACTGGCGAAACGTGGTACTCGGCCTGTTAAAGGCTATGTGGGGGACCTACATCTTTGTGGTAGTGTGTATGAGGTTATAACACTGTGTGTGCGCTGTTGTGCAGTACGCCCACCACCACCACGCAAGGCCTGATGCTGGGAGGAGCCCTGACGGGCGCCAGCTCTCTTGGGGGACCAGGAGCAGGGGCCTCCGCCGCCAAGCTGCCGTTTAGCTTTGGCGGCGCCACCTCGACTGGTGAGGGGAACTTCGGCCACTGGCACCGCAGTCCGGTGACGGTGGAGCTCGGTCGTGCGGATATTTTAGTAAGCGATTACACGGAGTTGGATTTTGGCCGCATCTGTGGCACTGAAGGTTTGCGGCTGCGTGCTTGCAATATTTGATTCGATGCTTCCGTTACCTTAATTCAACAGGGGAGAGCAGCCTCTGTAGGCCCGACCCTTCTTTAGTCCCTGACTCCTTCTTTGGGCCCCAGCCCTTCCTGATTAGGCCCCCATCGTCTCCTCTTCTATCGGCTCTGCGCCTCTCCTTTTGTAGGACACGCCCCTTCTTTTGGGGCCCCTCTTTCTGTTTAAGCGCCGCCCCTCTGCACAGTACTGGGCTAGTTTGGATAGTGGTGGGAATTGTGGAAGGTGGGGGGGGGAGTGCTCATGTGCAGCAGCAGTGGCAATGGTGGCCGGGGACAGTCGGGGTATGGGTGGGGCGGCTTCACTATAACAACCAGAATCCCTCTTACAGCGGCAATAAAACGCTAGATTCCAATTTACGTTTACGGCACCGTCCTTGTCGAGCCGATGTTTGTGGGTTCCGTGTTGCCGCCGCGATGTTTCTTGACGCAATCTCTGCTCGCCGCCGCTGCCGCCCACGCAGGCCTGACCCTGGGAGGGGTCGCGGCGCCCACCAGCACGATGGCCCAGAACACCGGCCAGGCCACTGTCGTGTCCTTCGGACAGAAGCCCCTAGGCGGCGCACAAGGTAAGACGGGGCCGGCGGCCGCCAGGAATGTGCCCAGGCGGTGTCGGATCTCGCGAGCTCGGCGAATATTTCCCCGCGTCGTGCTCGGGTTGTGAACTGAACCACCCCGCGTGTCCGTGATGGGTGCCAGGTGGCAATGTGGCAAGATGCGTTGTTGCGCTGTACTTCTGTGCTTCCGCGTCTACGCTCGGACCCGCCTTCAGCAATTGGCACGGTGAAGTACGGTCAAATAACCCTCACGACCTGCTCGTCTTGGGTAGGCCATCTTCCAATTGTGGATTGACAAAGGGGCTGTACGCGTTCCCATTGAGTCGTTGCAGAGTGGTGCCGCAGCAGTGTGCACACTGCACATAATCATCATCAGTGGTGATTTTGTGAACCGGTTCTGGGCCTCCCCTAGGTGTGTCGTGAGTTGAAGCTTTCGTGACTGCAGGGATCCATACTCTGGTTCTTTCGGTAAAGTCACGTAGGTATAAAATAAAATAAATCACGACGTTTCGATGGCAACACAAGCGGTTCCACTGCTGGATTATATTTTTTCCGCTTGAGGACGACCGCTTGTGTTGCGTTCGAAACGTCGTGATTTATTTTATTTTATACCTACGTGACTTTATCGAAAGAACCAAAGAGTATAGGTGTGTCGGCTGAACGTTAACGCCGGCGAGGTATGACAGCCAAGTGTGGTTCTGGCCACACCGCCCCGTCGTGCGCCGTGCCAACCTCAATCAGTGCTCACTCACAGCTCTTGCCGCGACCGCCTGTGTCGGCCACACAGGTGATCTTTTGTCTATTTTGTTGCTCTCTCTCCAGGTACGGGCATGGGTCTGAGTGGCGGACTGAGCATGGGCGGGACCCCGCTCACGTCCGCTGCTGCCGGGTTTGCGCAGGGAGCCCCCCAACTAGCCACGGCTGCCCCCTCGGCCGGATTCTCGCTCGGCTTGGGCCTGGCGAAGACCGAGACGACCACTGCACCGACTTCACTCAGCGGTGAGGGTGGTGGGGTCCCCGTGAACCAAGGAGGTAGAGCCGGGGCGGTTATAGCCGATGGGACGATTACTCGATTGATCAACTGGGACGGCCGCGTGACCCAGCAAAAGCGCGCTCGCCGGCTCGTCGGAGAAGCTCGCGGTTGTAATCCGGCAGGATGTCCTGATTAATGCCGCAGGTGTGTTAACCGTAAAATGATGAGCCTTGTGTTTCACGGTGGACGTTCAGGATCCCATGAAGTAATGCGAAGAAGAGTAGGCCATTGTGTGCCCGGCGTCACGATAAAATTTGTCAATGTTGAAAAATTACTTGATTATAAACACGGCAATCCTGAAATAGTCTGGAGGCTCAGTGAGGCTCTCCTGGGTGAACGAGCATGAAAATAATAAAAGTGGTCGGCTGCGTTGTTGGTGGTCGATTGTTCGGGCCCCTTGAGTGCTCTCTCAGCCATCCCTTTCCCAACCGTACGTCATTCTGCAGCCAGCCTCTCTTAATTAATTAAGTAAACCTGGTCACTTTGACTCGTTTAGTAACAATTGGGCATGACTGGTCCCTTTGTGTGCAGTTAGTTGTCTTGTCCAGATGTTGCCACTGGGTGGCAGCAGGAGGCACGTGCCGCGTGTGGCCGTAAACAAAATCTGCGCTCGCACCACGTGACGCTATGTCGGGACGGGCCGTGGAAGGCGTCACGGCCGGGTCGCGGGAGTAGACTGCTGTGAGAGGGAATAACTCGAAAGATCCGAAAATCTGGCCTAGATACGAAAGTATCATCCGAAAAACAACACCTTAGCTTTGGATTGCTCCGAAATTATGACCTCAGGGGTATTGACGTCACGTGTAATGCATAAGAGTGTCGTCAGGTGCTGCGGTTTCTTCCCACATGTACACTCATTGCCTGGCTGACAACACCTTAATATATAGAGGACTGCAGAGCCTGGGCAATTGTTGGCACCGGCTCAGTGTGGCTGACGATCCCGCTTGTCTGTGGCTGATCGCACTTCCGAGTCTCTCCGTCTCTACGAGAGCGAGCGGACACTTTGCGGCGGCGCAGTGTTACGAGTTGACGTTGTTATTCTTCGACGATGCTAGCGGTAGCCTCCGAGCCGCGCTCAGGAGTCATGCCACGGGCAAGTATGGCCGCGCTCGGGCTGCGAGCGGGGCTCACCGGCCCGGCTGTCGCTCGCAGGGACGACCAGAGGATTCTCCCTGGCCGGCGCCGCTGCTGCCGTCGTGGCCCCAAGTGCCACTGCAGCCGCCAGCACCGCAACGTCGGCGTCCTCCTCCTTCGGCTTTGGGACGGCGCCTGCCTCCTGTACGACCGCACAGCAAGGTGGGGCCTGCTCGGGGCACCCGTCCGGATGAACGCTTTCGCAACGAAGGTTGAAGGCGCGGATGAATTAGCTGTGTCCTTAGCTGTGTCCGTGTGTCTGCAACCTGGAGCCAGGGTGACTCTCGTGAAGATGATTATTTGAAAGTAATAACACTGGTCAACAAAAAAAAACTCTGGCCTTGATTTTTGCAGCTGTTTTAGACTCATTTCAGGGTGCTGATTCCAAATCTGATCTCAGATTTGCTCTATCACATCATTTTTATGCTATCGGCATTCCCCATTTTCATTGATTTTACCCGAAATTAACTCTGTCACTTATGATTGCAAGTTGTTGCGAGTCAGTGACTGCTTTAGTGTTAAAATATGGTGCTGTATTTTTAGGGTGTTTACAATATCATTTTATATAGATATCCACATTTATTTAATATTTTTCTTCTGAAGTTTTTATTGAAAATGCAATATTTGATATCTCAAAACCTTAAAACCGTTGGAATACCTTATTCCAGAAAAAGTGTGTTGACCAGTGTAATAGTTTAACTGAACCTGGAAGCCACACCGAGTCAGAGGGCTCGGTTTTTAGGAGGGTTCCTGCATTGGGTATTTATTTTAACGTATTCAACCGGTTTATGATGAGTGTTTATTACGACAAGTGGGATGAACGAGAGCACCCATAAAGAATCCACTCTGTCCCCTCGCAGATGGAAACATGCTGATTTAGTTCACTTTCTCTACTGCCTATGGCGCCTCCTCAAAACCCTCACATTTGTGCAATCCACCAACCCTGGCCTCCACAGTGCTGGATTGCAAGGCGTGCGCCACCACCGGCTGGTGTAAAGTTCTGTCGTTATCAGGGACGAGAGAAATCTTGGCACCACTCGTTTGTCTTGGTTCCCCAGTTTTATCCCAGTTGTGCTACCACATCACGAGATGGAGAATCTGTTCAGATATCTCACAGAGCAGTGCCCCGTGAAAGCGGATATCATAGAACTACACCTGAGATCAAGTGACCTCTGGTCCACATGGTAGAGGGGCATCACCTTCGACATTTGCCGAAGTTTCATATTATCCGTGTTTTTATGTTATCCTTGCCATCCTTTCCCCCCTGATCATTCCGGATTACGGAGGAGTTGCCTGTGGGGACGATCTTTCAGACGGCACAGCGACTGCCGTTCGCGGCGAGGCGTGCCTAGGCGTGCACGTCGTTAACGCGTGCCGTTTCTCGGTTGTTGTTCTCGACAGTGGCGGGCGCGGCAGGCGCCGGGCTGGCGTCCTTCGCTGGATTTAAACCGCCCTCTGCCGCCACCGCCACCAGCGCCGCCGCCAGCGTCTCAGCCGCCCCGGCCACAAGCTCCGCCAGTGTGGCGCCGGTCAGCACCACCGCCACCAGGTAACGGCACCCGCCCCGCGAGGAGCGCGAGTGTGTGACCTCCTGATGCGTGCGGGGAATCGCTCGTGCCGTGCGGAGCCGCGGAGTCCGGGGTTATCCAGCTGCTCCACCGCTCGATCGTCGCCGCTTCATCCAGCCCACACGGCCTTGTCGCTCCACCGCGCAGCCGTGCTAAGGGACCGTCCACAACAGTGTGGAGGGGTGGCCAGCTCCACAGTCGAAAGACTCATGGGTCTGTGTCGGTATACGTAATTCTACGTGATTTATACGTCTCTGTGTGAACGTACGGGTCTCTGTGTGAGTCTATGGGGTCTGTGTGAGTCTACAGGATCTGTGTGAGTCTATGTCTCCGTGTGAATTTGCGGGTCTCTGTGCGAGTCTGTGGGGTCTGTGCGAGTCTACGTCTCCGTGTGAATCTGCGCGGTGGCGCTGCAGCACCGCATCTCACCGCACCATCTGCCACCCTTCCACCGCAGTGCGGCACCCTCGCTATCGTTCGGGCAACTGGAGGAGTTGCTGAACAAGTGGGGCTCGGACCTGGAGGAACAGGAGAAGCATTTCCTGCACCAGGCGACGCAGGTCAACGCGTGGGACCGCACGCTCATCGAGAACGGGGACATGGTGAGTGCCGCTCGTGGCGGCCCGCGGCGCCGCAGGCACGGTGCAGCAGGCACGGTGCAGCAGGCACGGTGCAGCATGCACGGTGCAGCAGGCACGGTGCAGCAGGCACGGGTGCAGCAGGCACGGTGCAGCAGGCACGGTGCAGCAGGCACGGTGCAGCGACCGTGACTTGCGCAGAGGGCCGCGGACTTGCGTAGAGACTTTGTGCGCGATGCCCATTGTGGAATATAACCCAAACTGGAGTTGAATTCACATCGCGTCTCGTGCTCCCTGTGTTCTGTGCAGATCACGTCTCTGCACAAGGACGTGGAGAAAGTGAAGCTGGATCAGAAGAGGTGAGTGCTGCTTTTGCACCTGCGCAGGGTCTTGTTCTGTTTTTCTGCACGCAGCGCCGTTGATGCAGATTGCTTCTCAAAACGCTGTCGATTTCGTCACGCGCGCAGGCGTGGGAAGGAGGCATCCAGAACTGGCACCAGCAATGGCCTAAGCTCTGTGGTCCGATCTTGCCATGTTTTGCCAACTCCATTAATAGGTTGTTTATTCATGTGGGTGGAAGTTTCACGAGTGAGTGTGTGTGTGTGTGATCTACCAACTCTTGCTGCCTCCACACTTATGGGGTCGCAGGCCACCAGCGCCTGGGGTGCAGGGATTAGTTTACCACACAGGGTGTGAACACTACAGTTCCCAAAGATATATTTAAGACAAAGATCCCCCCCCCCCCCGTACAGCCTCAAACACGAAGGCTATATGGGGGAACTTTGTCTTCATGTATCTTAGGGAACCATAGTGCAGTGGTTAGTGCACTACACTACGAACTCAGTGACCCAAGTTCAATTCCCACTCACGATCAACGTCAGTGGCGAATATCTGGACTGGTTATGGACCTCTCCCAGGTTGGCTCGGCCAAAAATTAGTACCTGGTGCAGTGTATAAACAGCATTGATGAGACAGACAGATGGGCATGGTGCTAGCCACCCACCTCTGTGCCATGCTGACCATAGGTGCTCACGAACAGCAGTTATCCCATCAGTCTGTTGAAGGCTGTACGGCTAATCATTGTCCTATGCATGTTGAACTTTTACACCGTAATTAGCTAACTGTGCGCGCCTCACATCCCTGCGAGGGACGTCGTGCCATGGTAACGTCGTGAGCGCGCACGACCCCTCCTCTCCGTGCCGCCCCCCCACCCCCCTCAGGCTGGACCAAGAGCTGGACTTCATCCTGTCCCAGCAGCGCGAGCTGGAGGATCTGCTGGTGCCACTCGAGGACTCGGTGAAGGAGCAAACGGGGACGATCTACATGCAGCACGCGGACGAGGAGCGCCAGCACACGTACGCACGCACGCACGCACGCACGCACACGGAGGGAGAACTGGCACGTGTACACACAGAGACAGCACGCACACCGAGCCGGCACACGTAAGCACGCCCGCGCTGACCCCGCGGGGTTAAACACCACGGTCAAGGTTGGTGGACGGCTTCAGAAGCCCCGTGAAGCCCACGTGCCGACGCGTTGTGGAGCTGTTGGTGACGGTGCGACCCCGTGACCCCAGCCACGTCGACGAATTGTCAGTTATCGCTGCGACCCCGTGACCCCGTCGCCCGTGCCGATGCGCGCAGGTACAAGTTGGCCGAGAACATCGACGCGCAGCTCAAGAGGATGGCCCAGGACCTCAAGGAGATCATCGAGCACATCAACACCTCGAGCAGCTCGCACAACTCCACCGACCCCGTGAGTCACCCCCCCCCCCCCCCCCCCCCCCGCGTTCCCGCTGCAGGCCCCTGCACGGTCGAGCCGTTCGCCTAACCCTTGGCGAATGGGAACCTCGGTCGGTGGGCTTCGTGGGGGCGTCAGTCACGAGAGGCGGTGGATGTGCGGAGAGCAGACGTCCCGTTTTCCGCTCGTCGTGAAGTAGAGTCGAGGCGCAGCATTTCCCCGCAACTCGCTCTGCCGCTGGAAGTGCCGTGGAAGTTTGTGCCAAAATTAGGTGGGGAACCGAATTTTACCGTGTGAAAAATAAGAAAAGGTTTAACCCTTTCTGGCAAGAAGACAGCAGGTGTTAAGATGCTCAGACACCCAAATAGAAACCTTTTGCAAGGAATCAAGTCTGCATTACCCACATGTACTTGTGGTGAACATGCTAACAAACATGCTCTGATAATTACGTATGCGTTGTCTTTGAAACTGATTGGCCTACATCAGAGACGGCCTTCTCCATGGCCCTGTCTCACCAGCGTCAGACCAGAGGACAACGCCATTATCAGAACACGTTTGTTTGCATGTTTTGCCACAAGTACGTGTGGTTCATGCAGATTTGATTCATTGCAAAAGGTTTCTATTTGGTGTTTGAACATCTTAACACCATAATAATAGGGTTTTCCCCCTTTTTTCTGGCAACAAAACTGAAACCTTTTTACGAGGATTCATGTCTGCATTAACCGCAATACTTGCAGTCAAATGCAAACAAAAACACACTATGTGGTTAATGCAGACATGAATCCTTGTAAAAAGGCTTCAGTTTTGTTGCCAGAAAAAAGGGGAAAAACCCTATTATATTTTGGTACTGGCAAAGGAGGTCTAATGATGTAGATCTTAACACCAGTTTTATTTCCATAAAGGGTAAAACCTATTCTTATTATTCATACTTTAATGCTGGCAAAAAAAAGGTCCCATCAAATTTGACTTTAATTGGATTTTTTTGTGCAACCATTGGCGACCGGGTTGACACCATCAACTCACTGCGTCGTCAGTTCCGCCGTCCGCTCGGAATCCGTTTCATTGTGAGCGAAAATCCGCGTGTGGTTTCCTCTCCCTTGTCTCCAGCTGCAGCAAATCTGCAAGATCCTGAACGCGCACATGGACTCTCTGCAGTGGATTGACCAGAACACAGGTGGGGCCGGCACCGGTCACAACTCGCTGCACCGTGCCAGCACGCCACACACAGACCTCACTCGCTCACCATGCCAGCACGCCACACACAGACCTAGCTCGCTCACCATTCCAGCACGCCACACACAGACCTCACTCGCTCATCATGCCAGCACGCCACACACAGACCTCACTCGCTCACCATGCCAGCACGCCACACACAGACCTCACTCGCTCACCGTGCCAGCACGCCACACACAGATCTCACTCACTCACCATGCCAGCACGCCACACACAGACCTCACTCGCTCACCATGCCAGCACGCCACACACAGATCTCACTCGCTCACCATGCCAGCACGCCACACACAGACCTCGCTCACCGTGCCAGCACGCCACACACAGACCTCACTCGCTCACCATGCCAGCACGCCACATACAGACCTCACTCGCTCACCGTGCCAGCACGCCACACACAGATCTCACTCGCTCACCATGCCAGCACGCCACACACAGACCTAGCTCGCTCACCATGCCAGCACGCCACACACAGACCTCACTCGCTCACCGTGCCAGCACGCCACACACAGACCTCACTCGCTCACCATGCCAGCACGCCACACACAGATCTCACTCGCTCACCATGCCAGCACGCCACACACAGACCTAGCTCGCTCACCATTCCAGCACGCCACACACAGACCTCACTCGCTCACCATGCCAGCACGCCACACACAGACCTCACTCGCTCACCGTGCCAGCACGCCACACACAGACCTCACTCGCTCACCATGCCAGCACGCCACACACAGATCTCACTCGCTCACCATGCCAGCACGCCACACACAGACCTAGCTCGCTCACCATTCCAGCACGCCACACACAGACCTCACTCGCTCACCATGCCAGCACGCCACACACAGATCTCACTCGCTCACCATGCCAGCACGCCACACACAAACCTCACTCGCTCACCATGCCAGCACGCCACACACAGATCTCACTCGCTCACCATGCCAGCACGCCACACACAGACCTCGCTCGCTCACCGTGCCAGCACGCCACACACAGACCTCACTCGCTCACCATGCCAGCACGCCACACACAGATCTCACTCGCTCACCATGCCAACACACCCACACACAGAACTCACTCGCTCGCCATGCCAACACGCCACACACAGACCTCACTCACTCACCATGCCAGCACGCCACACACAGATCTCACTCGCTCACCATGCCAGCACGCCACACACAGACCTCACTCGCTCACCATGCCAGCACGCCACACACAGATCTCACTCGCTCACCATGCCAGCACGCCACACACAGACCTCACTCGCTCACCATGCCAACACGGCACACACAGACCTCACTCGCTCACCATAACAGCACGCCACACACAGACCTCATTCGCTCACCATGCCAACACGCCACACACAGACCTCACTCGCTCACCGTGCCAGCACGCCACACACATACCTCACTCGCTCACCATGCCAGCACGCCACACACAGACCTCGCTCACCATGCCAGCACGCCACACACAGACCTCACTCGCTCACCATGCCAGCACGCCACACACAGACCTCACTCGCTCACCATGCCAGCACGCCACACACACACACCTCACTCGCTCACCATGCCAGCACGCCACACACAGACCTCACTCGCTCACCGTGCCAGCACGCCACACACAGACCTCACTCGCTCACCATGCCAACACACCCACACAGACCTCACTCGCTCACCATGCCAGCACGCCACACACAGACCTCGCTCACCATGCCAGCACGCCACACACAGACCTCACTCGCTCACCATGCCAGCACGCCACACACAGACCTCACTCGCTCACCATGCCAGCACGCCACACACACACACCTCACTCGCTCACCATGCCAGCACGCCACACACAGACCTCACTCGCTCACCGTGCCAGCACGCCACACACACACACCTCACTCGCTCACCATGCCAGCACGCCACACACAGACCTCACTCGCTCACCGTGCCAGCACGCCACACACAGACCTCACTCGCTCACCGTGCCAACACGCCACACACAGACCTCACTCGCTCACCATGCCAACACGCCACACACAGACCTCACTCGCTCACCATACCAGCACGCCACACACAGACCTCACTCGCTCACCGTGCCAGCACGCCACACACAAACCTCACTCGCTCACCATGCCAGCACGCCACACACAGACCTCACTCGCTCACCATGCCAGCACGCCACACACAGACCTCACTCACTCACCATGCCAGCACGCCACACACAGACCTCACTCGCTCACCATTCCAGCACACCTCGTACACACCTGCGAGTGTTGTTTGCGACTGCGTTTGTGACTGTGACCATGCGTGTGTGGGTGCAGTCTTTCTGCAGAAGAAGGTGGACGAGGTGGCCAAGCAGTTTGAGACGCAGAGGAAGGAGCAGGAGCATCCGTACCGCCTGGGCCTCAACTGATTCTGGCCACAGTCCGCCGACAGACCCCCGTAACCCGCCGATAGGAGCGATCGGCCGCTCGGCCAGTTGTCTGTGGCTTAAGCCGTTCGCAAAACTACCGCCTGCAAAACATTCCATCGGCATCCGTGTAATAGTCTCGCTTTCGGTTCCTTGTCTTGCGTTGAGACTGCCCTTGTCGATGCCACTCACTCCTTCGTCCTGATGCTCGGTGGTCGGCTACTTGTGGGCCATATTAATCTTTTTGTTTTTGATGGAAGTGGAGTCCCCGTGTAAAGTTCACCTGTGAGACGGAATGAGTCTCTCGGATAGTTAAATGAGATTAGAATTGGAAGCATCGTCGCCTGGGCGCTGTGAGTGTGGTGAAGCCGCACTCGAGTATATGTGCGTGTATAAGTAACAAAGGCTATACGGGGGATCTTTGTCTTTGTAATCAACAGAGTCAAAGATCCCCGTTAATAGCCTTTACAGACCGTTAGGGGCAATTGCTGTTAGTGAGTGACACCGATGAAGGCCGGCACGGCACACGAGGGGGTGGGTGGCCAACACCACGTCCGGTCGCCATTGTCTCCCTTGTGGCGATGTTTTACACACCGCACCAGGTACTCAATCGAGGCTGAGTCGACCTAGGGGAGGCCCAGGACCGGTTCAGATAATCGTCACCGGTGTTTTAGATGCGAGGAGCGATGTCCCTGCTGGTGCCACCCTGGCGTTGTCGGTGTCCACAGCTGGAGCTGAACTGCGCCGGCCCTCACGGTGACTTGGTAACGACCTTCACGTCCCAGAGGTCGCAAACGGGTTTTGATTCCTTACCCGTACCCGGCCGGGTACGGGTAGCCGGGTATCGGGTAGGGTACAGGTATCGGGTACCCGGTTGCGACCTCTGCCACGTCCTGCCCAGTGGTGCAGCAGCAGCATTCAGGGCACCACCATCCTCCACGGCCTGTACCGGCGTGGAATATTAAAATGTCGCTACTTTTTGGATTTCTCAAAGTATTGAGCCCTGTAAAGGTAATAAAGAGTGTTATGGTAAGCTATGGCTCGTGTGCGCTGCAATCTCTTTCCCTCGGGTTTGTGCGTTGCGTGGCATCTGCTGGGTGTGCCCAGTGACAAATATCCGTCTCTGGCGCCGGGGACCAAGAAGAGGAATGGCTGAGGTTGAAGAAAACGTTCACGAGCAGCTTGACGAGGATCCCTCCACGAACACCACCCAGCCATGGGGGATGCTCATGGCCAGTACCCCCTGCTGCCTCGCAAGCAGCGGGCAGCCGCCTCACAAGCAGCGGGCGGCCGCCTCGTGACGGATCTGCACCGAACACGGCACGTGCAGTCACTCGCATCACCCGCCACTCGAAAATAAAATAACGAGACGGCCTGCGAACGGTGGAACACATCGCGAGCCTGTGGGCCTCTGTGTCTATAGGGTTCTGTGTCTATAGGGCTCTGTCTATAGGGCTCTGTGTCTATAGGGCTCTGTGGCTATAGGGCTCTGTGTCTATAGGTCTCTGTCTATAGGGCTCTGTGTCTATAGGGTTCTGTGTCTATAGGTCTCTGTGTCTATAGGGCTCTGTGTCTATAGGGTTCTGTGTCTATAGGGCTGTGTCTATAGGGCTCTGAGTCTATAGGGCCCTGAGTTTAGGTCTCTGTCTATAGGGTTCTCTGTCTACAGGGTTCTGTGTCTATAGGGCTCTGTGTCTATAGGGCTCTGTGTCTATAGGGCTCTGTGTCTATAGGGCTCTGTGTCTATAGGTCTCTGTGTCTATAGGGCTCTGTGTCTATAGGTCTCTGTGTCTATAGGGTTATGTGTCTATAGGCCTCTGTGTCTATAGGGCTCTGTGTCTATAGGGCTCTGTGTCTATAGGGCTCTGTATCTATAGGGCTCTGTCTATAGGGTTCTGTGTCTATAGGGCTGTGTCTATAGGGCTCTGAGTCTATAGGTCTCTGTCTATAGGTCTGTCTATAGGTCTCGTGTCTTTAGGGCTCTGAGTCTATAGGTCTCTGTCTATAGGGCTCTGAGTCTATAGGTCTCTGTCTATAGGGCTCTGAGTCTATAGGTCTCTGTCTATAGGTCTGTCTATAGGGCTCTGAGTCTATAGGTCTCTGTCTATAGGTCTCTGTCTATAGGGATCTGAGTCTATAGGTCTCTGTCTATAGGGCTCTGTGTCTATAGGGCTCTGAGTCTATAGGTCTCTGTCTATAGAGCTCTGAGTCTATAGGTCTCTGTCTATAGGTCTGTCTATAGGGCTCTGAGTCTATAGGTCTCTGTCTATAGGGCTTTGTGTCTATAGGGCTCTGAGTCTATAGGTCTCTGTCTATAGGTCTCTGTCTATAGGGCTCTGAGTCTATAGGTCTCTGTCTATAGGGCTTTGTGTCTATAGGGCTCTGAGTCTATAGGTCTCTGTCTATAGGGCTCAGTCTATAACTCTCTGGAGTCTATACGTCGCCAATTCTATATGTCTCTGTGTGAGTCTAGGTCTGTGAGTGAGTATAGGCTTGAGTCTATAGGTTTCTGAGTTTATAGCTCTCAGCCTATAGGTTTCTTAGTCTATAGGTCTCAGATTCTGCGGGTCCCTGTGTGAACTAATTAACTCTCCAAGAGCACTAGTGGTGACGGTCCGACGGCAGCGCGTTCACCGTTTTGTTGCAGAGGTGCACGGTTCGAATCCAGTGACCGCCCTGATTAACGTTGCGGGGTATAACTGATAATACTACGCGCCGTCTACGTCACTCGCAGTGGACATTGCAGTGCCGTGCACCCAATGAGATCCCCCTCGAGACGCAAAGCAATACATAGAGGTGGTATTGGGCACCACTGTAGTCCGTGCTCCTTCAGCGGAGGAGGTGGGGGGGTGGGGATAGCAAAAAGTTCACGAGCTCTCTGCTGAAGCCCTCTCGCGGCGAGCTGAAGAACCTTGACATTTACACCGACCACGCGGGCGACGTCGCCGTCGGCGGCGTCACGCGCTCGGATGATCGTGTCGCCCACTCCGAGTGCTGCACACCCGAGTTTTCTGGATGATGTAGCTGGTGAAGATGATGTTGCTGCTGATGATGATGTTGCTGGTGAAGATGATGTAGCTGCTGATAATGTAGCTGGTGAAGATGATGTTGCTGCTGATGATGATGTAGCTGCTGCTGATGATGAAGTAGATGATGATGTAGCTGGTGAAGATGATGTTGCTGCTGATGATGTAGCTGGTGAAGATGATGTTGCTGCTGATGATGATGTAGCTGGTGAAGATGATGTTGCTGCTGATGAAGATGTAGCTGGTGAAGATGATGTAGCTGCTGCTGATGATGTAGCTGCTGCTGATGATGTAGCTGGTGAAGATGATGTAGCTGGTGAAGATGATGTAGCTGCTGCTGATGATGTAGCTGCTGCTGATGATGTAGCTGCTGCTGATGATGATGTCGCTGCTGCTTGATGTAGTTGCTGATGATGTGGTAGCTGCTTTTGCTGCTGATGTAGCTGCTGCTGATGAGGTAGCTGTTGCTGATGATGTAGCTACAGATAATGATGTAGCTGCTGCTGATGAAGTAGCTTGTGCTGTTGATGAGGTAGCTGCTGATGATGATGTTGCTGCTGATGTAGTTTCTGATGATGTAGTTGCTGATGATGATGTAGTTGCTGCTGATGAAGTAGCTGCTGCTACTGATGATGTAGTTGGTGCTGATGATGTAGCTGCTGCTGTTGATGTAGCTGCAGATGATGTAGCTACAGATGTAGTTGCTGCTGATGATGTAGCTGCTGCTGATGAAGTAGCTGCTGCTGATGAAGTAGCTGATGATGTAGCTGCTTCTGATGATGTAGCTCCTAAAATAGCTGCCGCTGATGATGTAGTTGCTGCTGATCATGATGTAGCTACAGATGATGATGTAGCTACAGATAATGATGTAACTACAGATGATGATGTAGCTGCTGATGATGATGTAGCTGCTGCTGCTGCTGCACAGCAACACGATGGGGGGAGGGGGTAGGGGCAGCATCGCGTGGCCGACTCCGGCTGAACGGAATGCGCCAATGTCACTTAACCCCCCCCCGTCCTCCCCCTACCGAGCGAAGTCCTCTTGTCAACAGAGACCCGGGAGGGCAGGGGGGGGCAGGGGGGGCTTCTGTCTGCGCCTCTCGAGCCGTAGCGAGGACGCCACTCAGCATCAGCAGCGACAGCAGCAGCAGCCCGTCACGGAATTCTCTGCGCGGCTGAGACTTCGCTGCGCACTCATCTCGACATCCATCGCCACGGTCGGTTCAGTTTTCCACGGCGGGGGAAGGTGGGGGGGCATAGAATCGTGTGGAAGTGCCCCCCAATCCAGGAGAAGGGAGGTTAGGGGGAATCGCCGCCACGTGTCCCGATGTCGTGGCTGGTGTGGTGGGGGCTGCCACTCACCTCGTCGCTCTCGGCTCCCCTCCTCCTCGTCCTCGCCGCGTGCCTCCTGCTGGGATGGGCCCTGGGGATGAAGGGAGGAGGAGGAGGAAGGATGGAGGTCTGGGCAGGCGACGACACCGACCCGGCGAAGGAGGAAACCGAGGGTGAGTCGCGGCTCCAGCACGCGCTTGATATAGGTGCGCTGCGTAACCGGTAATCGCATGGGGGAAACCGGTTAATACCGGTTTGTCGCACACGTAGAGACCCCGAGAGCAGTGAGCACAACTTTGGTGTCAGCGAGTCCAGCAACGCGCCCATCCTTTGGACTTGACCGTCCGTCGCAGTCGGCCAGCCAGCCAGCAAAACTTTTATAAATGTAATACAGTCGGAGTTGTGACACGGAGACATTGGCATCGAGAACGTGAGACACATTGTTGCTGCGACCCGAGTTCGATTTCCGCTCTCGGCCAACACCAGTGACGATTATCTGAACCGGTCCTAGGCCTCCCCTTGGTCGACTCAGCCTCAAATGAGTACCTGGTGCTGTGTGTAAACATCGCCACTGGGGAGACAAAGGCGGCCGGGCGTGGTTCTGGCCATCCACCCCCTCGTGTGCCGTTCCGGCCTTCATAGGTGTTCGCTAACAGCACTTGCCCCAACAGTATGTTAAGGCTACACGGGGGATCTTTGTCTTTTGTGATCCAGAAAGCCTCGCTGCTGCTGTCTGCATAGCAGCAGCACAGCCACGAGCAGCAACAGCAGCAGCCCACGATCGCGCGCGTCTCTAACCACGGTCCGTGCCGCGTGGCGTGTCTACAGGGCCCGCCGAGGAGGAGGGTGACGAGGTGGGGGAGGGTGACGAGGTGGAGGAGGGTGAAGAGGTGGAGGAGGGTGGAGAGGTGGAGGAGGGTGACGAGGTGGAGGAGGCGAGCTCCATCCCCTTCTCGCTGCCGCGGCACGGCGAGGCGGACATGCTGCGTCGCTCGCGGGAATTCTACGAGCTGATGGACGCGCGGCGCTCGGTCCGCCACTTCAGCGCCGAGCCCGTGCCGCTGGCGGTGATCCGGAACGTCGTCCGCACGGCCGGTGCGCGCGCGCGCGCCCCACGTGACCCCTACGGCCGCGAGTGCCGGGGCGGTTTGTTCCCTCGAGCGCAGCGGTGGCCAATTGCACCCACGTGGTAGCGACGGGGTCCACTCCGGTGGTGTCTCTACGATCACCCCCCAGACAGCCCCGTGACCCCCACCCCCACCACCCCCACCCTACCACCCCCACCACCCCCACCCTACCACCCCCACGACCCCCACCACCCCCACCCTACCACCCCCACAACCCCCACCACCCCCACCCCCCTACCACCCCCACCACTCCCACCACCCCCACGACCCTACCACCCCCACGACCCCCACGACCCCCATCACCCCACCACCCCCACAACCCCCACCACCCCCACAACCCCCACCACCCTACCACCCCCACGACCCCCACCACCCGACCACCCCCACCACCCCTACCACCCCCCCCACCACCCCCCCGGGTGGATTGGACCACGTGATGCAACACTCGGAACACTCGCGCCATCCATCGGTCGCGGGTTGTTGACGTCTGCCCACACTGGGCATCTGCGGAAAAAAGCGCTTTCTAGCTCATCGGATTCCTCCAGGATAAAAAAAAGGATTGGATTCTGGTGTATGTTGAACTTCTTTAGCACCGTACGTAGACAACGGTGCGAATCGGAGGTGCGGGAGGACAACAAACGAAACACAAAGCGATCTCAGATGTAGCTCTGGGATATCCGCTTCCTCGGACCATCCTCAGCCGTAATGGGGATTGCTCCCAGCCGATGTTGGCGGTGCCTGTTATTGTTTCTCCTGAGACCCACGACATCTTTCGCGGCCATCCCACCCGTGGATCGGGATGCCCGGATTGGCCACCGCTGGGATAGAGCGGCCGGATATGATGGCCGTACCAAGACGCTGTATACATCCAGATCATTAGTATTGTTAGAGCTCCTTACTATTAAAATTCCTTCCCTTTATTACTGCTAACCCTACCTCCTCCCTTTGTTTCTGCTAATCCTACATAATGGACGGGCATAATATGACTTTGAGACCCCCCCCCCCCTCCTATGCATTCCACAAGTAGTGACTAATCCCATACCTGCATTTTCCATAAATATGCTAAATTCCTCCGTTGATATGCAAATTCCTTTGTCAAGGCGCCCTTCCTCCCCTAACCCAGCTTAAATATACGCTGCCCAGCTTGGTGGTGCTCATTCAGACGCTGTCTTTCCGACAGACCTGTTCTTCACCTGAGGACGGCTGCTTGCGTTGTGGCCGAAACGTCGTGAGAATTGTATTTTATGTTTTCTTTTTATTATTTTATTATTTCCCTTCTACGTGACTTTATCGAAAGAACCAAGAAGATTGTTAGGGCAGTTCGTGTTAAATCACGAGACAGATAATCCATTCGGAATTCTCGCAGAATGGTGCCGCCCTCCGTGTTGTTCGAGAACAGTCCGTGGAATCGGATATCACAGAGTTAGGGGCCGTCCATAAATGACGTCACGCACCTAGGTGGGTGGGGGTCAGACATTTGTGACGATGTGTGACGAGGGGGGGGGGGGGTTGAGAAATGTGACGTCACATCAAAATGCGCAACTTTAAATAAATATAGACAACACGTTCTACTTAATTAAATATACTTTTTGATAAATGTTTACTCTTACAACATCAAAGTGCAGCGCCACATTAAATACGCATTACAATGACAATAGTTTAAAGCGATTTGAAGCATGTTTTTTTTGGGGGGGGGCAGAGCTTTGTGACGTCATTTGAGGGGGGGGGACTTTTTGTGACGCCGTGTGACGATGAGGGGGGGGGGGTCAAAAATCGTCCAAAATCGCGTGACGTCATTTATGGACGGCCCCATTGGTGACCAGGCTGAGACCGTCAAACAACTCGCTGCTACTGCGGCCCGCAGAGAGGATATCCTTGAGACCCCCTCGAGGGTTTCACTGCTTCTGCAAGAGTTCCGAATGGCGTCGTCTCACACCCCACTCGCTCCCCATGCCTCCCTCCCCCCACCACCCCAGTGTCTCCCCTACCCAAGCCCCCCAACCCCCAGTAGCCCATGCCCCACGCCCTCCCTATGCCTCCCCCCACCCCACCATCCCAGTGTCTCCCCTCCCCATGCCCCCCCCCCCAGTGTCTCCCCTCCCCATACCTCCACCACCCCACCCCCGATATCCCCCTCCACGTCTCCCCCCCCCCCCTTCGTGTCTCCATCCTCCCACCCCGTGTCTCCCCACCCCGTCTCCGCCCCCCTAAGCCTCTTCCCCAGTGCCCCCCCCCCTAATGTCTCCCTCCCCCCACCAATATTCCCCCCCCCCCGTTCCGCCCCCGGTGGGAGCAGGCTCGTCCCCGAGCGGGGCTCACACGGAGCCGTGGACCTTCGTGGTGGTGCGTGACGCCGCCACCAAGCGGCGAGTGCGTCTCGCCGTGGAGGCCGAGGAGGAGGTGAACTACCGGCGGCGCATGGGCGCCCGCTGGGTGCGCGATGTCCGCCGCCTCTCGCACAGGCACGTGGGGACAGCTGCCACTGGGGGTTCCGCCCCTCCCCGCCCGCCCTCCGGTTTTTTCCCTCCATGCTATATAAATCCACGTGATAAGCCACTTCGTTGAGCTATCATTTGCAGCCAGGTCCAAGGCCGTAATTATAATATATATTGGCGGGGACACATCCCCCCCAATATTCAAATATGCTAAAAATGCCCCCCCCCCCAATATATTGCTATAAAATAGATTTATGTTTATATGATTGCGGTTTTGGTTGTACTTTATTAATTCCTAATCTCTGCCATTACATACAATGAAACAAGAAAAGGTAAAAATTTTAAAACAGAGCAATGTAATACAATAAACTATTAAACATTATTGTAAAAAATAAATAAAAAGTCCATCCTATGTGTTAGAAAATTTTTTAATATTTTAGGCAGGAAATTCGTTTTCAAATTGAGATATTTTTTTTCTGGGGTGGCGACCCCCAGACCCCCTGGAAGATTTGGTCCCCCCCAATGTTGACTCCATGGCTACGGCCTTGGCCAGGTCGCTTCTGGAAAAGAGCTACATAGCTCAGTGGGCTTTACCTGGTACAATAAAAAGTTAGTATAGTTTAAATGAGTACCTGGTGCAGTGTGTAAATATCACCACTGGGGGGACAAAGGCCGTCAGGTGTGGTGCTGGCCACCCACCCCCTCGTGTGCCACGCCGGCCTTCATAGGTACTCGCTAACAACACTTACCCCAACAGTCTATTGAAGGCTATACGGCTAATAATTGTATGCATGAACTTCTTTCACACACTGGTATGGCAATACAGGGGGAGGGGGTCTTTGTCTTTGTGTTGTCTACCTATCCAGCCTGTCCTGGCAGAAGCCCTACCTGGAGACGGCCCCGTACCTCATCGTGGTGTTCAAGCAGGTGTACGGCACGCGGCCCCACGACGGGAGCCGCGTGGTTCACTACTACAACGAGATCAGCACATCCATCGCGTGCGGCATCTTGCTGGCAGCCCTGCAGGTGAGGACGGGGGGTGGCGGTACGACCTCACACGGGGGGCACACTCGGGCGACGACGACCACGACTACCACGACGTCAGCTGTCGATGCCTTGCACTTCCGCCAAGGTTGCGAGATGGCGGTGCCCGGTATTAGCGGTTAAAGCAAACACAGTTTGGGAAGTTGGCTTTGTTTATTTTACAATTCACATTCTCCACAACGACGCGTAATGATCATTTGGTGTTTACGCACTTCTCCTTGGTCTCGTTGTCCTGCCACCACACACTCCTCTGTTTATCAAGTTAAGTGGCACCTATGACCAGCAGTGGATGGACCATGGCACGTGATGACGTAGCCCAATCCGGAGCCCTGGCAAGCTCCTCCAGCGCACGGCACCTGCAGGAGCCGCCACGCCAACAAGACGCTCCACGCTCCGTGTCCCACCGCTATGTCGCGAGTAGCCCCACGTCCCCACGCCGACTCTCCAGCTGCCCGCTGCCATTCGAGGGAGATGTGAACGCATCTGCCTTGACCCATCTCTCTCCACGCTGGTGGTGGCGGCGGCGAGGTTTTCGGCAACATCCCTGGCAGTTGTGCCAAGCTGTGATCCCCACGTTCCCGGTCGTATTTTCTTCCAAGCGGTTCTGATTTCTGCGGCTCGGATGCTTTTCGTTTGATCCGTTTAAATCGGTCTCCCTTGCCCCCCCCCTCGCCGCTGCGCAGAACGTGGGGCTGGCGACGCTGACGTCCACGCCGCTGAACTGTGGCGCGCGACTCAGGGAGCTCCTCCGCCGCCCGGACAACGAGAAGCTGCTGATGCTGCTGCCCGTGGGTTTCCCCGCGCGCGGCGCCACCGTGCCCAACCTCGCGCGCAAGCCGCTCGACGACATCATGGTCCTCGTCTGAGAGCGAGCGAGCGAGCGGGAACTAGTTGGGGCTGTGATGCGCGAACACTAAGGACTGCCACGCTCGCCCTCGTGTATTCGACGTGGAGAGTATTGCTCACCCGTGTGGGGACGCAGTGCTCTCGCACTCGAGTTATATCGACACACAACTGAACATTGCAATGCGTGCCATCTCCAGTACTCTGAAGTAGACGCCGACCTAGCGGCTCCCGGTGCTCACCCACCGCAAATCCCATCCGGGAATACCAAAAAATTATCGTCAACCCGCACCTTCCGGTACGTTGGAATATAAACCCAGCGCCGCTTATCCACCTAAAATCACGCTACCCATTCTGGATCACAGCAGCCTCGCTCCAAGCCACAAATACAAATGAAGTCGAGAGATAGAAGCGAGTCTCTGGACTGCGCCCGATGTCAAAAATTAACATCTCGTACAGGCCCCTACCGTCGAACCTCCCCGTTTCAACCTTCCACACCACCAATGATCGACCATCAACCAAATCAGGACCGGGGCATGTGGCCGATGCGGCCACCCGATGCACAAATGGCGCATCAAAGATTCGGCGGCATGCGAGTGCGGCCACGAATACCAAACCATCGACCCACATAAAGACTCACCTGCTGCTGCCTTCACTCATTCCAATAGACAAGTGAGTGGATAACAAATCTAAAATTACATCTGTAATCTGCCGCTATTAATCCATACGAAATATGAATAGAGCGGGTGAGCAACCTACGACGCTGGCGCAAACTCACGGAGAGAGGCAGACGGAGGAAGAGAAAGGCGGGGAGCACTAGACACGTTTCGGCAGCAGCGCGCGGCCATCGCGAGTTGCTTTATAAACCGGGAACCCGTTTATGAAGGAACTCGCCTGGCGAGCGAGCGACACTGTGGGGTCACGCGCACAACAGGACGGTCCCAACTTCGATGAACCGGAAAGGGGAGGTCAAATCAGCGGTTCGGTGCCACGTCGCCATCAGCACAGCAGGGCTGATGGCGACATTCGCAACGGCATTAATACCGAATCAGAGGGCCCGTATCGACAAGCTCGCATCCCGGTCCTCTTATCGCTACAACCACAAATTACCTTTCCCGCGCACCCCGGACATCGCCGCCGCCGCCAGTGTCACGGACCCCTTCTGCTGGTTTAACACGGACGCTGTCGCCTGATGACGCTAGCTGCAATCACTAGCGAAACGTACTCGAATTGTAAATGTCATAGTGGATTTACTCTCAAACACACCGGTGTGCTGTGCTAGTAACGAATTGGCGTGTTTTTATTAACGTGATCAAAACCTTGCTAATTGGCTGTCGGCTGGTGGCAGTTTTAACGACACATTTACATTGAACTAACCCAAAAACATGGATTATGGACCCTCCTGCCAGATTGGCCGTTTCCTTTCGGAGTGTTCAACCACCATATTGCCGGGCCTCCTCCTCTCTGACCACCCCCACCATCTCCTTGACCCCCGACTTCTTATAACCTTCGCTCGAGTCGTCGCACGTGTAAAACGTTGCCTGCCATGTTGAAGAGTGCCTTCCATCACATGCTGTGGAACTCCGCATTCCCAAATACCCCACCCTGTCTGCTGCCCCCCAACGTAGCTGCTCGCGGCCGTGTTTATTACTTCACGTTGTACGATACCAGCGAGTTGCCATTTTACCCATGGCGATTATGCGAACCCGGTCTCTGTGTTCAATAAGGCTCGTTAGTTGTACGCACATTGTACGGCTCGGCGGATAAAACGCATTCGTCGTTTCATTGTGGAGATTTGCCCCTGGTAATACAGCGGTGTATTAACCAATTACCAGGCGCCGTCTGGTAATTACAGCGTACAAATACAAATATGCCAGGCACAGTCTGGTAATTACATCTGGTAATTACAGCGGTGTAATAACCGCGCGAATACCAGGCGCCGTCTGCCTCACAGTGAACATTAAAAGATCCCCTGACATCATTCGCAAGAGTACCCGTGTCACGGTCCAAACTTGACGGGTTACACCGCAAATTGCTCACTTGGGAATACGCACGATGACCTCGCCCCGCCGCCGTGAACACTCCCGCAGGCTGCATCTGTGAAACCCAATGGGCGGCGCCTACCTTCATGATCACCACCTACGCGCCATAAAGAACCATAGTACTGATGCCAAAATGTGCGAATGACTTATTATCATCATCATCTTTATAATAAAGGCGACAACCGTAAACGTGGCGCGAACCGCGGGGGGGGGGAGAGAGAAACGACGGGCGAAGCCACGCACGTTCCCGTTTGCGACTGCTCCCGCCGCGGTGGGAATCCACACGAGTCGAAGGCGGGAGGCGGGGATCGACGCGGAGCAGCGATCGGCTCGGCCGAGGAGAACGCGACGGCAGGGCGTGACGGGAAGCCGCTGGTACGCTGCGGCGTGGTGACGGCTCGGCATCGGGCGAGCGAAGGCCTCGACTCGCGACGGGACACGCGCCGGGCCGCAACGTGCACAGTCGCGCATAAAAATCTCTCGAGACCCGTCCATGTTTGCATCCCTTAAGTTATATTTGCATGGCAGACAAGTGTGTACGCGACAAGCAGCGGCTGCCACCCTCACCGCTTCATCACCGACTACACACACACACACACCGCGGGATTTCGATTCACTACATTCACCCCCTGGACTCCAGCGTGTCTACGAGCCCTGGACGAGCACAGGCTTCACAAACCCTTGCGGCTACGCCTCGCATCATCACGGCGTGGCGCGCGCGTGTGGAACATGATACAAAAGAGTTCTTGGCACCCACGGACATTAAGCTTGCATGCACCACGGTTCGTTTGGTTTTCACTCGCTGTGCTTATTGCCACGACAGAAACAAAATTTCGCAGACCGCTCGGTCAAAAACGCGAAACGCGCACCCCTCTCCCTCGTGCCCCCGAGTCCGTGAAAGACGCCGCGATCGCCGCCGCCACTGCGCACGCGGCAGCGACCCGAGTCGTCTCTCGATCCTTGCTATAGAGATCGTGGCAAACTGCGGTTATTTATTTGGTTTATGAAGGGGGATAAATCCGTGTCATTTGCCGTCTCCTACCGGTCCACAGCTCACACATTGGCCAATACTTCATCGTGTCAACACAAACTCTTGTTATGTTGGAAGTGGCAATTTCTCTTTCACGCCACCAACTGTGATCGATAAAAAAAACACTTGTATTACTTTAATTCGGCATGTCACGTCCGCCACGGCAGATAGTTTGCCCCCAGCGGCGAAGGCCGCGAGGCGTCTGCAGAGCGCGGAGTTCCCAGTTTGTAACGACGTGATGCAAGCACGGTGAACGTTTACCAACGACGCTGACCGCGAGCAGAGTAGGCGTGTCCGAGCTGCGCGCGCACACAACGGTGCACTTCCACGTCACCTTCCGACTCTGAAAACACGACCCGAGCAAAAGAGTCCAAATTACAAACCTATCAAAAAGGAATTAAAAAGATGACCTCTCTGCACCAAAGCAGCTCCCAGTGCGACAACAGTTCACCGGATCAAGGTCGCCGGCTCGGAGCGACAACTCTCAATGTGTCCTACGACGGTGCAGGCCTCCGCGGTGCCATGGCCTGGACCGCGGTCGAAAATCCCAGCGAGAAGAGAGCGGCAAAAGCGGCGTCTCATCCCTCGAACACTCCGTGCTGCTCCTCCCCAGCGGGCTCCCCCAGGGGCTTCAGGGCGTGCATCTCCTTCTTGTGGTGCGCCAGCATGTAGAAGCGCGAGAAGTGCTTGCCGCACACCTCGCACGCGAACGTCTCGCCGCGGTGGATGCGCTTGTGCCGCGACAGGTTGTGCGACAGCGAGAAGGTCTTGCCGCACAGCTCGCACGAGAAGGGCTTCTCGCCCGTGTGCTTGCGCATATGCAATGCCAGCAAGCACTGGTAGCGGAAGCTGGCCCGGCACACGTGGCACTGCAGCTGCCCGCACCGCCCGCCGTGCTGCGCCGTCGCCGCCGCCGCCGCCTTCTTCGCCCGGCTGCCGCCGCCGCCGCCGAAGGCCGCGTCGCCGCGCGTGGGGTGCGAGGGGGCCGGCGCCGCCCCCCCCCGCGTGCCGTGCGGCTCCAGGTCCCCCGCGCTGAACTGGGCGCCGGCGGGGCCCGGCACCTGGGAGTAGGTGAAGCCGTACCAGCCCCGGGGCTCCCCCCACTCGGCGGCTGGGAAAGAGACGGGGGGGAAGGGGTTAGAATGCAAAGCTCCGTGGCGGTGTGCCCAGTAGCCATCGCGCGTTTGGCGGGGGTCTCGTACTCAATGTGTCAAGATTCATCATTGGATTTTTTTGGGTTAAGCCGCGTAGCAATGATACAGCCAAATTTGTGCCGTGAGACACTCTCACACTCTCACACACCCGACACGGCCAAGTAAATTAAGTGGCCGCGTGTACAAGCGTTCAACATGCCGATTATCACCGTTGTTGCAGCTCACCGGTGAGTTTAAGAACAAATCTCACATACAAATTTAGCAGCTATCACATGTAATTTTATCAATGGTATTCGTTTGGCTACGTTGGGTTATGCAAGTCGCTTATCGCGTGTAAAGCGCCGCCCAAAGTGCCCCCCCTCCCCACAATCCCTGGCATCAGGGACGGTGGCTCCATCGCGAACACAAAACCGTGATCGTCGTGGCGAGAGGGGTCCGCGAGCGCGTCGCCCCTGGGTGGACGCATGCTCACATCGCTGCTGGCTCGCGTTGCCGGCGCCGGGTGCCGCCAGGCCGCGCGCGCTCGGGCACGCGTGCTGCTCCCGCCGCTCGCACGGGAGCCATCCTAGCGCCGCTCCGTCGTCGCCGCCGCCTCCGCCGCCCCCCCTGGTCCGCGACTCCGAGCCGTTAGCCGAGCCGGAGCCGCGCTGGCGCACGCCCACACGGCCGCTCCCTCCCTCCCCCGCGGCGCCGGCGAATGGCCGCCATGCGGGGAACCCCCGGGGTGCCGGGGCCTTCCTCGCCGGGGCGAGTGGAGGGGTCCCTCCGTCCGCCGCGTGGCGCAGGGGCTCGCTGCCCTCTTTTTTCAGGTCGCCTGCAAAGAGAGAAGCGCAGAGCCCACTTGACCGCGAGCTCCGTCTCGGATGATAATCTTCACCCAAGCGCGTAGGTGTCGGCAGCCGAGGTTACGATTTCACAATTGATTTCTTTTGGTCATGGCCATGTAATGGTCGGCTCAAATTTGTGTCGTTCAGACCCTCCACCAACCCGACGCAGCCAAAGAAATGAAAATGTGAGATTATTGTTTCAGCTCGCTCACCGGTGAGTTGAAAAACAATGCTCATTTGGCCACAATTAGATACGTTGCTTGAAACTGCGCCAGGCATCTGCAGGTCAAGATTCAATAAGTCGGAATAAAAATCGCGTCTCACGACCTGACACGTGTACAGTTATGACGTCGGAAGGCGGCACCACAAGGCAAAAGTGGCCACCGAGCCAGTGCTATGCAAGGAGGGCCAATGCCTCAATCTCCCCAGCAAATCAGGCTGGTACACAAACAGCAAGCCAGACCCCTGGCCCGCCATTCACGATCAGTCCGTGCGCTGTGTGGCCATACGGCAGAGAGTGTGCGGGTAGAGTGTGTGAGCAGAGTGTGCGCGCATAGTGTGTGTGGGCAGAGTGTGCGGGCAGAGTGTGTGTGGGCAGAGTGTGTGTGGGCAGAGAGTGTGTGGGCAGAGTGTGTGTGGGCAGAGTGTACGGGCAGAGTGAGTGTGGGCAGAGTGTGTGGGCAGAGTGTGTGTGGGCAGAGTGTGTGTGGGCAGAGTGTGTGTGGGCAGAGTGTACGGGCAGAGTGAGTGTGGGCAGAGAGTGTGTGGGCAGAGTGTGTGGGCAGAGTGTGTGTGGGCAGAGAGTGTGTGGGCAGAGTGTGTGTGGGCAGAGTGTGTGGGCAGAGTGTGCGGGCAGAGTGTGCGGGCAAGAGTGTGTGTGGGCAGAGTGTGTGGGCAGAGTGTGCGGGCAGAGTGTGTGTGGGCAGAGCGTGTGGGCAGAGTGTGTGGGCAGAGCGTGTGGGCAGAGCGTGTGGGCAGATCGTGTGAGCAGAGTGTGTGTGGGCAGAGTGTGTGGGCAGAGTGTGTGGGCAGAGCGTGTGTGGGCAGAGTGTGTGTGGGCAGAGCGTGTGGGCAGAGTGTGTGGGCAGAGTGTGTGGGCAGAGTGTGTGGGCAGAGCGTGTGGGCAGAGTGTGCGGGCAGAGTGTGTGGGCAGAGCGTGTGGGCAGAGCGTGTGGGCAGATCGTGTGGGCAGAGTGTGTGTGGGCAGAGTGTGTGGGCAGAGTGTGTGGGCAGAGCGTGTGGGCAGAGCGTGTGGGCAGAGTGTGTGGGCAGAGCGTGTGGGCAGATCGTGTGGGCAGAGTGTGCGGGCAGAGTGTGTGGGCGGCGAGTGTGCGGGCAGAGAGTGTGTGTGGGCAGAGTGTGTGGGCAGAGTGTGTGGGCAGAGTGTGCGGGCGGTGTGTGTGCGGGCGGTGAGTGTTTACACGCGTCGCCGGCGTTCTTCATGTCGTCCGCCTTCACGTCCACGTCCCAGTTGGTTTCACCGTCGTCGCTATCTTCTCCCACCCCAGTGTCTCCCTCCACGTGCCAGTCTTCCAGCTCTGGGTCACAGATCACACTTCGCTTAGTTCGATCTAGCCAATCAACAAGAGTTTCTCTGTGTAGGCCGACAATGAACCACACTTTCTGTGGATGAGAAACCCGTGAGATGGAAATTCAGGAGGCCGGGTGGCACAGAGGTCCGAGCGCAGAAGTGGTACTGCCGGTGACTAAAACTGGGTTCTCAAGGGCAGTGAGTTGATGGTCTTGGTGAATACCAGCTAAAAAAAAACAAAGGAGAAATTTGGTTTTCCAGTGCATAAATTCAAGCTCTGTAAAGCATTTTTTTGTTCACCACGGGATGAACATCACTCTCAGTGGCACGGTGGACAAAAAAGTGCTACCCCCCCCCCCCCCCTATGTGAAACAGAGGTCATGGGGATCTCAGAGGTAGCTCCGAGAACTCCGATTCTGCGGGCCGTTCTCCAACGCCAAGTGTGGCAATGCTCTGCGCGAGTCCGTAAACGGATTCTGTCTCGTGCCCAGATGTCGCCGACAAAGTAAACTGAATAAAAATTGATGACGTGTTTTTTTTCTTCCCCCATCATCAAGGTTGACGACCGACTCACTGCCCGTTGACTCACTGCCGCCTCGCCCTGTACACTCACTGCCCTGGATGCCGTACCTTCGTACGCTTGCTCCGTCTTGATGTTCGTCGTCTCCCAGAGGCTGTTGTTGTCCTGCGCGTCGCAGTTCTCCTGCAGTTCCCCCGAGGCTTCAGTCAAGTCATGGGCCCCGTCGTGGGCCCCGTCGTGGTCCCCGTCGTGGTCCCCGTCGTGGGCCCCGTCGTGGGCCCCGTCGTGGGCCCCGTCGTGGGCCCCGTCGTAGGCCGAACCGTCTCCCGCTTCTGAAAGCGCAAACGCCAGGTGTCACAACAGCGGCCTAAAAAGATCGCACGTGAGCAGCTTGGAGCACGCAGCACCGCAGCAAAGCGTGGTACGGCGCAGGCGTAAGCCAGATTTCCTGACCCCAAGAGGCAGCGACGCGACCCCCCAGCGGTAGCATGTTTGGCGCTTGTTGCAGAGGTCCGCCGTTCGAATCCGGCAGGACTCCCTGGTTACTTCTGCGGTGCGTGTTAACCGCAATTACTACACGTCGTGTGTTTCACAGCGTACCCCTGACATTCCAAAGAATCCCTGACATTCCAAATGCGTAGGCCATTGTGTGCCACCATCATATCCAAATTGGCCAAATTCTAAAATTGCCAGTACTACGTATGGGAATCATCAAGGGACCGCTGCCACTGGGGGTGGCCTTTGAATGCTTGAGACGCGATGTAAAGTGCTTTGAGTTGCCGAGACATTCCAGCAAGATCCATGTGAATGAAAAAGATCGATAGATTGCATGGCCTAGAGTCACAAGACACACAGTGGTGGTCATGCGGGGATGGTCATGAAGGTCAATTTGCCCGCGCTGGTTGGTCAATTGTTAAACCCAGACATTACAAATACGGGAACGCGTCGTGGAACGTTGAGCGTAAAACCGCCTGTCATAAAGGTTCAGGTTCCACGTTCAACAATAGATATCAAATGAGAGAGGGGCAAGAGGGGCATGCGAGTGACTAGTAGAGGCATTCACCCACAAAACAAAGATCCTTCGTGTATCCTACATAGATTGTGGGGCAAGTGCTCTTAGCGAGTACCTTTTAAAGTCATAATGGCGCATGAAGGAGTAGTGTGGCCGAGACCAAAGCCGACTGCATTTGTGTCCTCGGTGCTAACGTTTACAAACGGCGCTAGGTGCTCACTTAAGGCCGAGTCCAACTACTGGAGGCCCCACGTTTTCACCACGGCCCCTACAATTAAACACCACCGATATCACAACCCGCACACTTCGTTGCCCTAAATCTGCAGCCGACTCCTCACGTCGACGGTGACGGTGTTGGCACAAGTCAGAGGTCGCAATCGGGTACCCGATACCCGTACCCTACCCGATACCTGGCTACCCGTACCCAGCCGGGTACCCGTTTGCAACCCTGGTGCGGCCAGGTACGGGTAGGCCGTGAGTCACTGGTGAGTAACCGTTTGTCACTCATTTCCCAACGTCTTGTCTCTTCTCACAATTCAAGTTCCTAGAATCAACCCACCCGCGCCTGCAACATGGCTTCATCCCAGAGGTCGCAATCAGGTACCCGATACCCGTACCCTACCCATACCCGGCCGGGTACAGGTAGGGTACGGGTACGGCCAGGTACGGGTACGGGTAAAGAATCAAAACCTGTTTGCGACCTCTGGCACAAGTAGAGCGCTGCGCACCTGAGCCAGCGTTATCCTGCACGGTCACGCCATCCCCCGCTCCGCCGTCGTCCAGCGTGCCGCCGTACAGCGCCGGCTCCAGGCGGGTGAACCGCTCCGCCGACTGCAGAAGCTCCTGGCTCAGACTGTTGAGCATCACCACGATGGCGTCCAGGAGGCCGCTCAGGAACGGCCGCACCGCCGACACGTGGCCACCCGGCGAGCCCGGCACGACGCCGCCACCGCCGTCCCGGCACGCGGGGGCGGACGCCTCGGCCACGCGGCGCAACACGGCGTAGAAGGCGAAGGGCAAGCGTTCGCGCGCGGCGGCGAACAGCTCGGCACGCACGTGCGACTGTTCGGCGCACGCCAGCAGCGCCTCGTAGTCGCCGATGCCGAGCTCGCGATTCACCGCCTCCGCCACGCTCATGCTCATGCCTTGAGCCGCAAGCCACGCGGGGAAGTCTTGCCGCGGGTTCACGGACCCCCCCACCGCCGCCGCCACCGCCACTACCGCCGCCATCGCTCAGTCGCTGGCTTCCTGGTCACCGCTCGCTGACACGGGAAGGGGAACGTGATGGAAGATGCTGTAGAGGAAGACGTGTTTTGCGGTTGTGTCCCGTACCAGCGCGTCTCCGACGTGTTTTTTGGTTGTGCCGTCCGTTGTTCGGCACGATGTCAGATGTTTTTGCTAGGCTTGATGGGGGGAGCAAGACATCAGACATCGCGTCTAACAACAGAGAGGAAAAGACGGTCCCCTCCATTGCCAGGCCTCTCGATGTGCTATCAGTTTCAAGTTACGAGACAAATAACTAATTCAGAATTCTCACCTAGAAGTGCAACCCACAGAAGCGGATATTACAGAGCTACCTGCGAGATCCCTGTTTCATGTGACCACTGGGTCTGCACAACAGGGAGGGGGTGAAAGCACTTTCCCATCAGCACTGGTACCGAGCTAAATGTTCGTCACAAGGTCACAACTTTAACAGCTTGTGGCATTTTTAAACCGTCAATGTAAACATGCGCTAAGGTTTGTATTGATTGGCACCATTTTTTTTTACTGTTATAGTCATGGTAAAATGATAATTCTCAGCAATAAGGGTATGGTCTCATTAATTGGTAAATATCAGTGGTGATGTGTTTAAATCTAAATGATGTGTGCTCCACACCGTACCACCTCGCATTCCCCAAGTGAATTCTCAGGCTTATGACTTCTGCTGGCTTGGGTGGTAGGACTGTATACGTATCAAACCCCTGCGAAAACAGTGAGATGAAAAACCACCTCATGTCCCTGTGACATGAGACGTTAACACCTTGACTCCGAGAGCTAAGCAAGAACACGCTGTTGTAATGGGGCGAGACTATGAGTTGAACCCATGTCGATGCGTATGACGAATGTGCCGTGTTACCAAGATAACATAGAATGCGTTACCAGGTCGACACAAGAGGTTTCGCGTAACCAGGTTAACAGAGAAGCGACGTTATCAGGTTAACACAGATAACCCACGTTATTATATTTAGAGACCCTCCATTAGCAGGTTAACACAGAGACTATGTTATCAGGTTAACACAGACTACGTTATCATGTTAACACGGAGATCGCGTTACCAGGTTAACACAGAGACTATGTTATCAGGTTAACACAGACTACGTTACCAGGTTAACACGGAGATCGCGTTACCAGGTTAACACAGAGACTATGTTATCAGGTTAACACAGACTACGTTATCAGGTTAACACGGAGATCGCGTTACCAGGTTAACACGGAGATCGCGTTACCAGGTTGACACCGAAATCGCGTTACCAGGTTAACGCAGAGACAACGTTATCAGGTTAACAGACTACGTTATCATGTTAACACGGAGATCGCGTTACCAGGTTAACACAGAGACCGCGTTACCAGGTTAACACAGAGACCGCGTTACCAGGTTAACAGAGATCGCGTTACCAGGTTAACACAGAGACCGCGTTACCAGGTTAACAGAGATCGCGTTACCAGGTTAACACAGAGACCGCGTTACCAGGTTAACAGAGATCGCGTTGCCAGGTTAACACAGAGACCGCGTTACCAGGTTAACAGAGATCGCGTTACCAGGTTAACACAGAGACCGCGTTACCAGGTTAACAGAGATCGCGTTACCAGGTTAACACAGAGACCGCGTTACCAGGTTAACAGAGATCGCGTTACCAGGTTAACACAGAGACCGCGTTACCAGGTTAACAGAAATCGCGTTACCAGGTTAACACAGAGACCGCGTTACCAGGTTAACAGAGATCGCGTTACCAGGTTAACAGAGATCGCGTTGCCAAGCGCCGGGACCCACTTCAGCTGCGAAGAGGCCTTGGGCCTACCACTCGCAGTGATGGCGCCCAGACCCCGCCCCCTCCACCCCAACCCCGCCCCCTCCACCCCAACCCCGCCCCCTCCACCCCAACCCCGCCCCCTCCACCCCAACCCCGCCCCCTCCACCCCAACCCCGCCCCCTCCACCCCAACCCCGCCCCCTCCACCCCAACCCCGCCCCCTCCACCCCAACCCCGCCCCCTCCACCCCAACCCCGCCCCCTCCACCCCAACCCCGCCCCCTCCACCCCAACCCCGCCCCCTCCACCCCAACCCCGCCCCCTCCACCCCAACCCCGCCCCCTCCACCCCAACTCCCCCCCCTCCACCCCAACCCCGCCCCCTCCACCCCAACCCCGCCCCCTCCACCCCAACCCCAACCCCGCCCCCTCCACCCCAACCCCGCCCCCTCCACCCAACTCCCCCCCCCTCCACCCCAACCCCAACCCCGCCCCCTCCACCCCAACCCCGCCCCCTCCACCCCAACCCCGCCCCCTCCACCCCAACTCCCCCCCCTCCACCACAACCCCGCCCCCTCCACCACAACCCCCCCCCTCCACCCCAACCCCGCCCCCTCCACCCCAACCCCCCCCTCCACCCCAACTCCGCCCCCTCCACCCCAACCCCGCCCCCTCCACCCCAACCCCCCCCTCCACCCCAACTCCCCCCCCTCCACCACAACCCCGCCCCCTCCACCACAACCCCGCCCCCGCCACCCCAACCCCCCCCTCCACCCCAACCCCCCCCCTCCACCACAACCCCGCCCCCTCCACCACAACCCCCCCCTCCACCCCAACCCCGCCCCCTCCACCCCAACCCCCCCGCCACCCCAACTCCGCCCCCTCCACCCCAACCCCCCCCCTCCACCACAACCCCGCCCCCTCCACCCCAACCCCCCCCTCCACCCCAACCCCGCCCCCTCCACCCCAACCCCGCCCCCTCCACCCCAACCCCCCCCTCCACCCCAACCCCCCCCTCCACCCCAACCCCGCCCCCTCCACCCCAACCCCGCCCCCTCCACCCCAACCCCCCCCTCCACCCCAACTCCGCCCCCTCCACCCCAACCCCCCCCTCCACCCAACTCCGCCCCCTCCACCCCAACCCCGCCCCCTCCACCCCAACCCCCCCCTCCACCCCAACCCCCCCCTCCACCCCAACCCCGCCCCCTCCACCCCAACCCCCCTCCTCCACCCCAACCCCGCCCCCTCCACCCCAACCCCCCCCCTCCACCCCAACCCCCCCCCTCCACCCCAACTCCCCTCCTCCACCCCAACCCCCCCCTCCACCCCCCCCCCCTCCACCCCAACCCCCCCCCCTCCACCCCAACCCCCCCCCTCCACCCCCCCCTCCACCCCAACCCCCCCCTCCACCCCAACCCCCCCCCTCCACCCCAACCCCCCCCTCCATCCCAACCCCGCCCCCTCCACCCCAACCCCCCCCTCCACCCCAACCCCCCCCCTCCACCCCAACCCCGCCCCCTCCACCCCAACCCCCTCCACCCCAACTCCCTCCACCCCAACTCCCTCCACCCCAACCCCGCCCCCTCCACCCCAACTCCCCCCCCTCCACCCCAACTCCGCCCCCTCCACCCCAACCCCCCCCCCCTCCACCCCAACCCCCCCCCCTCCACCCCAACCCCGCCCCCTCCACCCCAACCCCCCCCCCTCCACCCCAACCCCGGCCCCTCCACCCCAACCCCCCCCCTCCACCCCAACTCCGCCCCCTCCACCCCAACCCCCCCCTCCACCCCAACCCCGCCCCCTCCACCCCAACCCCCCCCCCTCCACCCCAACCCCCTCCACCCCAACTCCCCCCCCCTCCACCCCAACCCCACCCCCTCCACCCCAACTCCCCCCACCTCCACCCCAACTCCCCCCACCTCCACCCCAACCCCCCCCCCCTCCACCCCAACCCCGCCCCCTCCACCCCAACCCCGCCCCCTCCACCCCAACCCCGCCCCCTCCACCCCAACTCCCTCCACCTCCACCCCAACTCCCCCCCCCCTCCACCCCAACCCCGCCCCCTCCACCCCAACTCCCCCCCCTCCACCCCAACTCCCCCCCCTCCACCCCAACTCCCCCCCTCCACCCCAACTCCCCCCCCCCTCCACCCCAACCCCGCCCCCTCCACCCCAACTCCCCCCCCTCCACCCCAACTCCCCCCCCTCCACCCCAACCCCGCCCCCTCCACCCCAACCCCCCCCTCCACCCCAACTCCGCCCCCTCCACCCCAACCCCGCCCCCTCCACCCCAACCCCGCCCCCTCCACCACAACCCCCCCCTCCACCCCAACCCCGCCCCCTCCACCCCAACCCCCCCCTCCACCCCAACCCCGCCCCCTCCACCCCAACCCCCCTCCTCCACCCCAACTCCCCCCCCTCCACCACAACCCCGCCCCCTCCACCCCACCCCCCCCTCCACCCCAACTCCGCCCCCTCCACCCCAACCCCGCCCCCTCCACCACAACCCCGCCCCCTCCACCCCAACCCCCCTCCTCCACCCCAACTCCCCCCCCTCCACCACAACCCCGCCCCCTCCACCCCAACCCCCCCCCTCCACCCCAACCCCGCCCCCTCCACCCCAACCCCCCCCTCCACCCCAACTCCGCCCCCTCCACCCCAACCCCGCCCCCTCCACCCCAACCCCCCCTCCACCCCAACCCCGCCCCCTCCACCCCAACCCCCCCCCTCCACCCCAACCCCGCCCCCTCCACCCCAACCCCCCCCTCCACCCCAACCCCCCCTCCACCCCAACCCGCCCCCTCCACCCCAACCCGCCCCCTCCACCCCAACCCCCCCCTCCACCCCAACCCCGCCCCCTCCACCCCAACCCCCCCCCTCCACCCCAACTCCCCCCCCTCCACCCAACCCCCCCCTCCACCCCAACCCCCCCCCTCCACCCCAACCCCCCCCTCCACCCCAACCCCCCCCCTCCACCCCAACCCCGCCCCTCCACCCCAACCCCCGCCCCCTCCACCCCAACCCCCCCCTCCACCCCAACCCCCCCCTCCACCCCAACCCCCCCCTCCACCCCAACTCCGCCCCCTCCACCCCAACCCGCCCCCTCCACCCTAACCCCCCCCTCCACCCCAACCCCGCCCCCTCCACCCCAACCCCCCCCCTCCACCCCAACCCCGCCCCCTCCACCCAACCCCCCCCTCCACCCCAACCCCGCCCCCTCCACCCCAAACCCCGCCCCCTCCACCCCAACTCCGCCCCCTCCACCCCAACCCCGCCCCCTCCACCCCAACCCCCCCCCTCCACCCCAACTCCGCCCCCTCCACCCCAACCCCCCCCCTCCACCCCAAACTCCGCCCCCTCCACCCCAACCCCGCCCCCCTCCACCCCAACCCCGCCCCCTCCACCCCAACCTCCACCCAACCCCCCCCTCCACCCCAACCCCCCCCTCCACCCCAACCCCGCCCCCTCCACCCCAACCCCGCCCCCTCCACCCCAACCCCCCCCCTCCACCCCAACTCCCCTCCTCCACCCCAACCCCCCCCCTCCACCCCCCCCTCTCCACCCCAACCTCCCCCTCCACCCCAACCCCCCCCCTCCACCCCCCCCCTCCACCCCAACCCCCCCCTCCACCCCAACCCCCCCCCTCCACCCCAACCCCCCCCTCCACCCCAACCCCCCCCCTCCACCCCAACCCCCCCCTCCACCCCTTCCCTCCACCCCAACCCCCCCCCTCCACCCCAACCCCCCCCCTCCACCCCAACCCCGCCCCCTCCACCCCAACCCCCTCCACCCCAACTCCCTCCACCCCAACTCCCTCCACCCCAACCCCGCCCCCTCCACCCAAACCCCCCCCCCCTCCACCCCAACTCCGCCCCCTCCACCCAACCCCCCCCCTCCACCCCAACCCCGCCCCCTCCACCCCAACCCCCTCCACCCCAACTCCCTCCACCCCAACCCCGCCCCCTCCACCCCAACCCCCCCCCCCTCCACCCCAACTCCACCCCCTCCACCCCAACCCCGCCCCCTCCACCCAACCCCGCCCCCTCCACCCCAACCCCGCCCCCTCCACCCCAACCCCCCCCCCTCCACCCCAACTCCCTCCACCCCAACTCCCCCCCCCTCCACCCCAACCCCACCCCCTCCACCCCAACTCCCCCCACCTCCACCCCAACTCCCCCCACCTCCACCCCAACCCCCCCCCTCCACCCCAACCCCGCCCCCTCCACCCCAACCCCGCCCCCTCCACCCCAACTCCCCCCCCTCCACCCCAACCCCGCCCCCTCCACCCCAACCCCCCCCTCCACCCCAACTCCGCCCCCTCCACCCCAACCCCGCCCCCTCCACCCCAACCCCGCCCCCTCCACCCCAACCCCGCCCCCTCCACCACAACCCCCCCCCCTCCACCCCAACCCCGCCCCCTCCACCCCAACCCCCCCCCTCCACCCCAACTCCGCCCCCTCCACCACAACCCCCCCCCCTCCACCCCAACCCCGCCCCCTCCACCCCAACCCCGCCCCCTCCACCCCAACCCCCCCCCTCCACCCCAACCCCGCCCCCTCCACCACAACCCCGCCCCCTCCACCCCAACCCCGCCCCCTCCACCCCAACCCCCCCCCCCTCCACCCCAACCCCGCCCCCTCCACCCCAACCCCGCCCCCTCCACCCCAACCCCCCCCCTCCACCCCAACCCCCCCCCTCCACCCCAACCCCGCCCCCTCCACCCCAACCCCCCCCCTCCACCCCAACCCCGCCCCCTCCACCCCAACCCCCCCCCTCCACCCCAACCCCCCCCCCTCCACCCCAACCCCGCCCCCTCCACCCCAACCCCGCCCCCTCCACCCCAACCCCGCCCCCTCCACCCCAACCCCCCCCCTCCACCCCAACCCCCCCCTCCACCCCAACCCCCCTCCTCCACCCCAACTCCCCCCCTCCACCACAAACCCCCCCCCTCCACCCCAACTCCCCCCCCTCCAC